AACAAACATTAAGGAAATGCCAGCAGAAAGAAGAATAAAAGGCTGAACAGTAAATGTATCAAGACATGCTAAAAAAATTTTAATGAACTTGTCAAACTTTCAGTATCTTAATTTTCTTTCAGATTTAAAGTTAGTAGCTTAATGAAGTCTAACTTCTATTTAAAAAATCTTCTATTTGGAATGAATCACATATAGTTAAAATGAACTCAGCAGTGAAGTTGACTACTCTTGGAGTTCTTAGTAGTTAAAAATAACAAGGTTTGTTTAAGTAAATTGAATATTTCCTAACAGCTAAAATATTGCTTTAGACCCATTCTGCAGTGCAGGTAAATGCAAATGTGAAGTTCTTCTAGGAGATCAGTTTCATTTAGGTCTGCCTTAGTAAGTAGAATTCCAAATAATGAATCTAAGTGACTGTAACCCAATTATGGCTACAGTCTAGTAACCACGTTGTGATTGTGATATAAAAGTGTTTTCCTTATAAAACTGGATAATACCAAGGAAACAAAGGAAAATAAGGATAAACCCAATATTCATGTAAAAATTTAATATTTAAAATACTACCATATTTATAAATTTGAAATCTTAGTACCTAAGTATATGGAGGGAAATGCATCTGATTCTCCTAAATTAGTGATAAAAGTGCCAGTGTAACCATGCAAGTTACTGAATATAAAACCTATTCAAATCATTTGTGTATATTCTTTAAAATTTAATTATACTATCAATTATTAAATATTCCAATTTTAAAGTATTTAAATTGAATCAAAACAAAATATTTCCTTTATCTGGATCTTTTAGACTTGATGCACAGTAACTAAAATAATGACTATTGTTTTAATACCCTTAGTTTGCTGCCTTGTATGAGGGTATCACGAAGTTCTAAAATGTATTTTTTTAAGGTTAATCTTTAACTAGTTTAGTTCGCAATTGGTTAGTGTATATTTTGTGTAGTTGTGTTCATTAGTTTGCTTCTGTATTTTTTTAAAAGAGCTCTTGAAAGCTTGGCTTTTTTCTGTTTATCATCACTTAATATCTTTGTATGGAACCCGAGTAATTTATTCATTAATATGAAATGTTGGTATTATGTGACTCAGAAGATCTTGGGTTTTAACATTTCTAGCATGAGTTAAACTATAATATAATGTACTGATGAAATTTAATTGAAATATCCTTGACTAGAAACACCGATGTTTTAAATGTTGGTGTTTTTCTTAGTTTTAGAAATCCTGGTATTAAAAAAAAAGAGTGTAATCACACCACATAAATTTTCTTTAGATGACGTGCGGAAGAAACTGATTGAGAATGCAGGAGTAACTGTAGGGAGAAACATTTTGATCACTGATATGCCTTAGAATTACCCAAATGAATTACATTGAGGGTAGTCAAATAAAATAGATCACCTCACCACAGTCACTGCATAGAAAGTGGTTAAGTTTGACATAAGACATGTTGGATGTTATGAAAGCAAATATTGTACTGAATTTATTCTCTCAGGAAAAAATAAATTACTTTGGTGAAAATATTTGGTTTCATTTTTTTTATTTAATTTTAATTTTATTTTTTTTCCTCAGCCATTTTCCATCAGATTTTTCTATATTTGTATTAGTTTCTAACCTTAAGAGTCACTCATGTCAGAAGAATCAATCAAATTTCATTTAACTGATGAGAACGTATGCTAAGTTTTAAATTTCATTATTAACACATAAGTAATGTTGGTAGATAAATCAATGCCATTCGGATATCCTTGGATCTAACCTGACCTCCTTCAAAGATGAAATTTTTTTTTAATTTTTTTTTTTTTTTTTGAGACAGAGTCTCACTTTGTTGCCCAGGCTAGAGTGAGTGCCGTGGCGTCAGCCTGGCTCACAGCAACCTCAATCTCCGGGGCTCAGCGATCCTACTGCCTCAGCCTCCCGAGTAGCTGGGACTACAGGCATGCGCCACCATGCCCGGCTAATTTTTTGTATATATATTTTTAGTTGGTCAATTAATTTATTTCTATTTTTGGTAGAGACGGGGTCTCACTCAGGCTGGTTTCGAACTCCTGACCTTGAGCAATCCGCCCGCCTCGGCCTCGCAAAGTGCTAGGATTACAGGCGTGAGCCACCACGCCCGGCCTAAAGATGAAATTTTTGCTTTGCCTTTATGCTAATCCAAGCAAACCAGAATAAAAATTCTAAGGAAGCTTTTATATGAGAGTGGTCAGAAATGAAATACCAGTCTATTAACAAAAAACAAACACTTATGAAAAGAAGATGAATTAATACCTTTTTCAACAATCTAGATGGAACTGGAGACCATTCTCCTAAGTGAAATATCTCAAGAATGGAAAAACAAACACCACATATATTGACTATTAAATTGGAAGTAACTGATGAGCACACATGTGCACAGAGGGAAGTAAAACTCAGTGGAAATTAACCAAGGAGAAGGTGGGAGTGGAAGGGCAAAAACCTACCTAATGAGTACAATGAACACTATTTGGGTGATGGGCACACCTATAGCCAGGACTCAAGCATTACAAAAGCAATCCATGTAACCTAAAACATTTGTACCCCCTTAATATTTTGAAGTTAAAACAAACAAACACTTAAAAAAATTCTCTGAAATTTTGTTAATCACATATAACCAGTAGATTATTTTTAAATTAGTTGGTTGTCCCTTTCAATAGTATACCTATTGAACCATCTAATGGATGGTTCTTATGTACTGTACTTCTGAATTACAACCTATGAAAACATAAAATTACCACAAAGTTTGCAATGAAACTGGTAAAACTCATGCTCCTGTTTCTAATCCAAAAGAATTTGACATACTCATTTGTCTTTTTTAATGGAAAAAGCAATTCATAGGAAGGTACTTGAAAATTATCTTGAATTATTATATCAGCATCCTTCCCACTTCAATGATCTGTTACTATACAGTTTTAGAGGGTGGGGAATTACTGTTATGACTAAAATCCCAAATTTAGCCTAAAACTTAATCTTACCATAGAAGATATGGTTGTTAAAATTCACCCATTGCAATATTGAACATTTTAGACCCACAGCATTTATTAGTACCTGAGTTAAGTGGATAACCTTACTCAAAGCCTAATGAGATGATTTTTTTCTGTTTAAGCATCAGTTTTGAGTATATACTTAACTTTGACATACATAATAGAGTCCCAGAAGAAAAAATCTACTACTAACAAATTGAAACAAGTACCCTTCAGGGGTCCATGGATCTAACCTGACTCCTTCAGAGACAAAACTCAAAGTGAGGACAGACAAAAATCCCAAAATAAGGGTTACTAAGTTAAAATAGGCTCTATCAAATTCCATAGCCACAACCTATTGCTGCCACCACATAAAGGACTAAGACTCCAATAGTACTTCAAAGGACTTCAAAGCCAACTGACTGAAAAAACAACCTTTCTGGGCCAGGCGTGGTGGCTCACGCCTATAATCTAACACTCTGGGAGGCCGGGGAGAGAGGATCACTCAAGGTCAGGAGTTTGTAACCAGCCTGAGCAAGAGGGAGACCCCGTCTCTACTAAAAATAGAAAGAAATTAATTGGCCAACTAAAAAAATATATAGAAAAAATTAGCTGGGCATGGTGGTGCATGCCTGTAGTCCCAGCTACTCGGGAGGCTGAGGCAGAAGGATTGCTTGAGCCCAGGAGTGTGAGGTTGCTGTGAGCGAGGCTGACGCCATGGCATTCTATCCTGGGCAACAGAGTGAGACTGTCTCAAAAAACAAAATAAAATAAAATAACCTTTCTGATCTAATTCCTACTTCACAGAATGGAAAACAGAATTTATGGATTCCAGGAAGATGTTCCACTGTGGGATATAGGTTAATAGGGCTAATCCAAACAAAGCATGAAATAAAAATCAACACATTCCTAAGTGACTACTCACACAGATTTCATTTCCATGAGTAGCTTGAAGGAATCAAGTCAGAAGACAGTGATTTAAATAAAATTTATTTTTTATTTTTGCTATGCCACGGTTAGAGGAGTATATGAAGAGGTAACACATCTCCTTTTCCTTAACCATGCTTTTTTTACCTTTTTGCACAAAGGTAAAAGTTTCTGTTAATCTCATAGTTAATGGTATAAAACAGAGGTTGGCAAACATTTCCTCCAAAGGGCCCGATAATAAATATTTTAGGTTTTACAGACCACATATGTTCTCTGTCACATATTTTTTTCTTTTATAACCCATTAAAAATGTAAAAACCATTTTTAGTTTGCACCATACAAAAACAGACTGAGCCAAATGTGGTCCATGGGCAGTAGTTTGCCGACCCCTGGTATAAAATATCTACTTTCTGAGAAAGTGCTCTCTTTAGCCTTCTTGACAGTCTACTGTCTAAAGCAGAGCGGGGGCCTTATTTATAATTGAATGTGGCTTGTGACAAGAGTAGAAATGGAGAATTTCTGCTCACTTTTGACTCTCCCAAGCAGTTTTTCCATTCACTCATTCAATAAATTTGTTGAGCACCTACTATATACATTCTTAAACATCTTTGTGATAGCAGAGATTTCCAGTGTTTCTTCCTTAAAGGGGAATTTCTCCAGCTTCTCTAAACCAGGAGTTATCACTTCTTAATACTCATGTTTTAGGGAAAATCAGTATTAAAATCTCTACCAGAAATCAAGAGGATTCATGATCATAAAAAAATGAATCTAGGCCGGGCATGGTGGCTCATGCCTGTAATCCTAGCACTCTGGGAGGCCAAGGTGGGCAGATCATTTGAGCTCAGGAGTTCGAGACCAGCCTGAGCAAGAGCGAGACCCTGTCTCTACTAAAAAAAATAGAAAGAAATTAGCTGGACGACTAAAATATGTATATATACATATACACACACACACACACACACACACACACACACACACACAATTAGCCGGGCATGGTGGCACATGCCTGTAGTCCCAGCTACTCGGGAGGCTGAGGCAGAAGGATTACTTGAGCCCAGCAGTTTGAAGTTACTGTGAGCCACGCTGACGCCACGGCACTCTAGCCTGGGCAACAGAGTGAGACTCTGTCTCAAAAAAAAAAAAAAAAAATGAATCCAGCTACCAATGATATCCTTGCATTGCATCCAATGACACATCCTTAAAGCAATAGCCTAGATGAGGAAAAATATGTAATTATCTCTGTTTAAAGATACTTCTTTTCCTCCCATAGGCTGAAACTTTCTAAAAAAACATTCTCAGATCCAGAACATCCCCCAAATAATTTCTTCCCATTTTCCTAGTTTGCAGCCATGTAACATAAAATCTGGATCCAGGTAGGGCTCTTCATTAGCTATTTCAGCCATAAAACAATACTGTAATACATTTAAGAATAAATGAATATTGCCTCCAAAGCAAAGTACACTCCCACATTTCATCTCAGGGAAGGAGTGATCATGTTTCTACTCCTTCAGGATGAAAACTGTAACTGTTAGCTTGAACCCTTCTGCTATTTATCAAAGGTGAGGGAAGACTTTATAAAATGGCCAAAGGTGCATAGGACTTCAGTATTAAAATATAAAGGTTTCCCCCATTCCAGATCTTTGGTACAGACATCAACTATAATAATCTGATTGCTCACACCACCAAAACATGGCACATTTTGTAATTAAAAGTGATTGTGATTTTCCTTTTGACCATGTAAACAAAGGGGAAATGCCTTGGGAAACCACTTTGTAATGTTCTCTCATTTCTCTTAAATACACATTTGTACAACCAGTTGCTGTGTGATGAAGTTCATGGTGGGGGAAAGAATAGAGTGGGCCAAGGTTATCGCTTTCGCTCCCCTCTCTGTGTCCTTTTCTTTTCCTTTTCCTTGCGCTCTTGTTTGGCTAGTTTGTCTCTCTCCCTCTGCAGCTTGTCCTGTTCCTTCTTCCTTTGGGACTCATCCCGAAGCGAGTCCCGCTCCAGTTTTCGGGCATTGAGGACATCTTCCACATTGGTGTTTCGAAACAGAGCTACAGGTGAGTTAAGAAAATGATTAGGGTACAAGTCACACAGATCACAACTACCGCTCTCTCTCTTCATTCTGGCTGTCTTCTCTCCACATGCTGAGTCCTGAATGGTCTCTACCTATTCCTAGTCTTTAAAAATAAATCCTTTATCTTTGGTCTAATGGGAAATCCTACAGCTACCATTACAAAAATTTTTAAATGTCCCTTGGAATAAAATATCATTCAGACTTATCTAAATCTGAATTTTAAAATATTTTATTAAAATGAAACTTCACCCTAGAATAAGTACTTACATCATTCAATGGCAGAATACTGTTGGAAAATCTAGGCTAGTTTTAGTGAACAGAGTATTAATGTAACTGGCTACATTTTTATGTATTTGGCACTATTAAAATGCTTTTTCCCCTAGTACTAAAGCTTAACTGAAAACCATGTTCTAATAACCATAAACACCGACTTTATAGATGATAGGAAGAGTTTAACATCGTTAAAAATACCTAGCCAAGGCCGGGCACGGTGGCTCACGCCTGTAATCCTAGCACTCTGGGAGGCCAAGGTGGGCGGATTGCTCAAGGTCAGGAGTTCGAAACCAGCCTGAGCAAGAGCGAGACCCCGTCTCTACTATAAATAGAAAGAAACTAATTGGCCAACTAATATATATAGAAAAAATTAGCTGGGCATGGTGGCACATGCCTGTAGTCCCAGCTACTCGGAAGGCTGAGGCAGGAGGATCACTTGAGCCCAGGAGTTTAAGGTTGCTGTGAGCTAGGCTGACGCCATGGCTAGCCTGGGCAACAAAGTGAGACTCTGTCTCAAAAAAAAAAAAATACCTAGCCAAAAATTTACCCCTCATTTCTTATGACTTTAAGAATATTATAAAAACTATGAATACCAGACAAGGTCCTCTCTACTCTTAAAATATGACTTTTCTGCTTCACTGCTTTAAAATAAATGAGTCTCCCTTTTCAGAGAGCTCCCTTTCTCTGATAATCCACCATCATACTCCTCACCTTTAAAGTGGATTTCTAAATCTGCCTACTCTAGGAAGCATCTCATAAATTACTCTGTTGGTAGGGACCTTCCTCAGCACATGTTTCAATGTCCATATTTTAAGCTTAAAGTGTTTGGTGTTTGTGTTCTCTTTCCAACAAATTATAAGGTGTTTGAGGCCAAAGACAAAATTTCAATATTGTTTTGTTTCCATAGCTCTGGCAACCCAGAGCTACAAACAGAGAGTACAGATTCTTATTTTACCTTGGAAATCCTTCCTCCAAGTGAATCTCTTTATAATACTGATTAACTAGTTTTCTCTGCAGAAAATTCTTACTAAATTGACTATCTAGGGCTGTCCTAGGAATGGAGCTCCCAGTGCTGGCATGACATGAGTTCCTAGAAGTAAAGGGAGCCCCCAGCAAGGACAGCAAAATACAAACTGACCCTCAAGAGGATTCTATGGAGAAACACATGGGGGTGGACACAGAAGGATACATTTGTCAGAACCAATGTTCATTGTGGTGGCACCTGAATCATCCTTCTCATCTGCTTCAGTGAATGATGTTAAGGAAATTGTATGGAAAACAAAGATTGGCACATTCCCACCTAACATTAGGAAACATGATATAGACTGGCAGGTAGGAAAAGCACATTGAACAGAGGGAAAACACTGTTAGGGATGTGACAATAAACCCAGGAGATTGACTTTTGGAAATCTCAACTTAGGGAAAATTGTTCAGAGCTTCTGTAAAATCCTTTTCTTGGAGGCTGAAAAGAAACTTAAGTTGGTCTGGGTGGACTGCCACATTACCTGGAAGCCAGGGGATGGTGAGATGACCACTAAAACAGAAGTTTCCAAGTGTGGCTCCCAGAACCTCCTGGGAATTTGTTAGGAATGCACATTCTTGGGCCCTACCCCAAACCTACTAAATCAAAAACTCTGGGGGATAAAGCCCAGCAATCTGTTTTAACAAGCCCTCCAGGAGAACCACTACTTTAAAAGTTCTTTTCCAGTCTAAGAACTGAAATTTTTTTATTTGAATCATAGCTCTGCCAACCCTTGCAAGAAAAGTTATGAGAAAAAACCAGAAGAGAAACTAGCCCCAAAGAGGCCAAGAATTCTTTTCCAAACTAGTGATTAGACAGCTGACATTTCTGGTATGATGTCCAATGTACAATGTGCCACATACTTCATTTGAGTAGGCTCAGTAAGTGAAGTATTTCCTAAATAAATTTGAAATTCAAAGGGAACTAACCAGCCCCTATTAGCAACACTTTCTTTCTGCACAGTTCCCACTCAAATTCCAGATTTACTCTGGTGTTGCTTGGAGGCTCAGCCTTACTTTTAACCATGTGGTCACATAAAAAAGATTCAAATGAAACTGCTCCAATTTTAGGGAATCCTTCACCCAAAAATATCCAGGTTCTAGTCCTGGTTTTGCCACTAATTCTCTGAATGCCTCTGATCACCCAATCATCTCTTAGTGCCCCAGTTTCCTTATTGGCAGAGAAAGAATATAAAGATGGATTATACATGTGATACTACACTGTATAAAAACATATTATACAGGCTCGGCTCAGTGGCTCACGCCTATAACCCCAGTGTTCTGAGAGGCTGAGATAAGGGGATCACTTGAAGCCAGAAGTTCAAGACCAGCCTGGACAACATAGGTAGACTCCATCTCTACAAAAAAAAAAAAAAAATTATCCAGGCACAGTGGCATGTACTTGTAGTCCCAGCTACTCAGGAGGCTGAGGCAGGAGGATTGCTTGATCCCAGAAGTTTGAAGCTGTGGTGAGCTATGATCATGCCACTACATGCCAGTGTGGGCAACAGAAGACCTTATCTCTAAAAAAAAAAAAAAGGAAAAATAAAGGATTACACAAATATAAGAAATCATGGCTATATCTTATTTTCTTAAAGCACAATATATGGTCTATTACAGTATCATTTGTTTTACACTGAAGTTTTTAGGAATATACTGATTATGTGTTGAAAAATACAAGTCTAGTATCAAATATTCAAATATTCCTCAGGCTGGGTGCGGTAGCTCATGCCTGTAATCGTAGCACTCTGGGAGGCTGAAGCAGGATTACCCAAGGTCAGGAGTTCGAAAGCAGCCTGAGCAAGAGCGAGACCCCGTCTCTACTATAAATAGAAAGAAATTAATTGGCCAACTAAAAACATATATATATAAAATCAGCCGGGCATGGTGGTGCATGCCTGTAGTCCCAGCTACTCGGGAGGCTGAGGCAGGAGGATCGCTTGAGCCCAGGAGTTTGAGGTTGCTGTGAGCTAGGCTGATGCCATGGCACTCTAGCCCAAGCAACAAAGTGAGACTCTGTCTCAAAAAACAAAACAAAACAAAACAAATATCATTCCTCATACCCAATGCCACCTTGGAGGGGAAAATTAAGCTATAGAGGACTGGCAACTTCCCAAAGCTCACTGTAAACCAGCAAACATTTCTGGCTTGAGCCTCAGGGAATGGTGTCAAGACTCCAGAAAGGATATTCCTCTTCATCTGTCACATCAGCATACTGGGCCAGGAGGGCAGCTTTTCTCTGCTTCTCCTCTTCTGATACCATTCTGGGCTTCACCACGATCTGTGCCTGCTTCTCAATTAGGGTCGCAATGGCCTGTACTTCATCTGGGAGATGGTGGAAGGAAGGAACAAGAAGACTGTATGAGAGAAAACAAACTCACTGAACAACTAGTCCACCCAGGCAGCACATGTACTAAAGACATTGGAATCTGCTGCCTCCTTAAAGCCCTGTAGTTCAAAGGACATGCCTCAGGGGCCAGTGAGAAAGGAAGGAAAGGCCTTGAAGGCCAGGCTTTGTATCTGTTTTCAATCAGAGAAGCCCTGATTTTACTTGTTTTATTAGATCATTAAATATAAAATGTCCAATTTCAAATCAAAAGTTTAGTTTATTATACCTCAACCAAGAAGCAGTACAATTAATTAAAGTGTGCCTAAACTAGGGACACAGCTTTGCCATCTTAACAGTAGCTTGTTCATGCAAGCAGTGAAAGAGCCTGCAGAGCAAGTAGCGATGAAGTTGTGAAAGGTGTTTTCCACAACTTGTTGAGAATTGAATTTTTTCCTTGCAAGAAGTGGTCCAAAGCCTAGGAAAAGTGATAGTCAGCTGGTGCCAGGCCTGGGGAATACAGTAGATGTCAGAGAGTTTCCAAGTCCAACTGCTATAGTTTGAGCAGCATTGTTTGTACGACATGTGGTTGAGTGTTATCTTGCAAAAGGACTGGCCTGCCTCTACTGATCAATCTCGGCTGCTTAATCATAAGCATCCTCATCATTTCATCCAATTGGTTGCAGTAGACATCCCTTGTAATCCATTTACCAGGTTTCATGAAGCTCTAGTGGATAATATCAGTGCTGGACACCCAGACACCATTAGCTGTTTTTGATGAATATTCAGTTTTGGACTGTGTTTTGGCACTTCATCTTTATCCAACCATTGGCTGAACACTTGTGATTGTCAAAAAGAATCCATTTTTCATCACATGTAACAATACTATACAGAAATGGCTCGCCTTTATGTCATAACAGCAAAGAAAAGGCAAGCTTCGAGACGATTTCTCTTCTGATGCTCATTTAATTCATGCGGAAACCACCAGCTTCCTTACCTTGCTGATTTGTTTCAAATGGTCCAACATTGTTAGAATAATAATGTCAAACCTTGCTGCTAATTCACAAGTAGGTTGAGATGGATTTGCTGCCACTAAAGCTTTCAGCTCACCATTATCCACCTTGGTCTCAGGTCTCCCACGTGGCTCATTTTCAAGATTACAATCACCAGAGTGGAACTTCCCTAACCATCGACTACTGTGTGTTCATTAGCCACATCCTTCCCACTTTGTTGATATTTCAAGCTGTCTGCACTGCACTGGTTCCACGATGGAACTCATATTTGAAAGTAACACAAATTTTTGACTTATCCATGGTTTCACAAAAATTGTTCTAAAAAAAATTTGAAAGATAATCACATGCCAGAACGTGCATTTGAAAGACTGAGGACCTTCACAATAAAAATAAAACAAGAAGTGTCAAAGTGAAATATCAGAGATTATCAACTGTCAAACTTAGTACATAAGGAAATTGGACATTTCATACTTCATATAATATCTATTAAATTTCTACTACTTAAAAAAAAGGGTGAAGTGGGCTCAGTGGCTCACACCTGTAATCCTAGCACTCTAGGACATTGAGGTGGGAGTATTACTTGCACTCAGGAGTCCAAGACCAGCCTAAGCAAAACTGAGACCTACTCTCAACTATTAATAAAAATAGAAAAAATTAGCTGGGCATGGTGGCACATGCCTGTAGGCCCAACTATTTGGGAGGCTGAGGCAGAAGAATGACTTGAACCCAAGAGTTTTAGGCTACAGTGAGCTATGATGACACCACTGCACTCTAGCCAGGGCAACAGAGAGAGATTCAGTTAAAAAAAAAAGCGAGAAGCACTGCATTAAGCCCTCAAACATGCAACTTTCTTCCTTTTCATCCCAGAAACCTAAGCATGAATGTAGAATCAGTTTAAGCTGGTTCCTTTCATGTTTACAATCATGCCAAGTAAAATTCTTAGATTAAGACTATTTTGCCATATTTTAAAATAAAATCAACTATTGAGTTCTCCATTCTCAAGGAAAGGAAGCAATCATATAAAGTAGAAGTCCTCATGCCAGTCTGCACATTAGAATTATCTAGGGGAGCTTTTAAAAAATACCAATGCCTGGGCTCCAACCCAAGTATGTCAAGTGTATCTAATATTCAATCAAGACTGAGAACCCACAGTATAGAGGGTGGAATCTTTCCAAGTTCAGCTTTTATGACTTGAATTTTCTGCAGCTAATTTACCATCCTAATGGTGAGTATATTAGCCCATTTCTCTTTCATTTTAAATGGTGACGGTTTAGCTGAATAAAGCAAAATACCAAACATTATTTGTGTTATAAAATGAGAACATGAAAAAGGGTAGGAGGTAGGAAAAATATATTTGACCCTATACCTGCAATGCAGTGGAAAGAGGTTGGAAAAGAAAAAACACAATGAAGGTAACTGTGGTCAGTTAAAATGGAAAAATGCAAAAGGAGAAAAAGAAACCAATGTTCAGTAAAAGGTTAGAATAGGCTATGGGGTGTTTGCTGGTGTAAATTATCTTAAGGAAAATGAGCATCCAAAGGGGAAAATGAAAAAATCTCTTCCTAACAGCTGTGTAGTAAAAGCTGTTAGAAAACACTCTGGAGGTTAGACATAGAAACTCCACCTCTACCTTCTTTTTTCACTTTGGTGACAACGTTCTGAGTTTCCGACCATCGTTCCACAATCTCCTTGCAGACATTAAGGAGGGAATCTTCTTCCTAGTTAGAAAAGTAGAACAGTTAATTTCCTGAGAGAGGCCTCAAAAGCAATAGCAACTTTTAAAAAGCCTATGCAGAGGGCACAGCTGCAAAATCATGGGAAGGGTTTGGGAGTCACAGAATGGAGTGTTTCTCTTCTAAGGCTCTGGCCAGAGAAGTAATCCTGTGTGTGTGTCCCAGAAGCCACACCTCCTAGGTTAAGAGCACCTGTTCTATCCTGGTAAGCTCCAGGGGAAAAGATTCCCACCTAAGTTGGGCAATCCTCCTCATTCTCTTTTAAAATATTTTATTCATTTTATGTTTAATTGACAATAATTGCATATATTATATATAGAATACTCACTCTGTGGTGTTTTGACACATCTTTACATTGTGGGATGATTAAATCAAACTAGCAAATCCATCATCTCACCTACTCACATTAGTTTTTGTGATAAAACATTTAAAATCTATTCTTCTAGCAGTTTTGAAATATACATTATTATTTACTTATTATTATTATTATTTTTTTTTTGAGACAAGGTCTCATTCTGTTGCCCAGGCTGGAGTAGAGTGGCCCAGTCACAGCTCACTGCAGCCTCAAACTCCTGTGCTCAAGCAATCCTCCTGGCTCAGCCTCCCAAGGGGACTATAGGTACATACCACCACACCTGGCTATTTTTTTAATTTTTGTAGGAGTAGGGGTCTCACTTTGTTGTACAGGCTGGTCTTAAACTCCTAGCCTCAAGAGATCCTCTGCCTCGGCCTCCCTATGTGCTGGGTTTACAGTCATGAGCCACCACACCTGTCTTTCTCACTTTCTTGCTTATTTATTTATTTAGAGATTGGGTCTCATTCTGTCACTCAAGCTGGAGTACAGTGGCATAATCATAGCTCACTGTAACCTCGAACTTCTGGGCTCAAGTGATCCTCCTACCTCAACCTCCCAAGTAGCAAGGACTACAGGCACATGCTACCATGCCCAGCTAATTTTTTTTAGAGATGGGGTCTTGCTAAATCATATTACTCCAGCCTAAAGTTTGGACCCTTTGATCAACATCTCCTTTTTCCCCACCCCAAACCCATTCTTTTAGAGCAAAAACCTATTGCCTAAGTGAAAACTCTCCTCTGTGCAATCTTCCTTGGCTGATATATTCAATTCAGAATATTCTCCAAGGGTTATCAACTTTCATCCTGGAACATATCATGAGCTTGCTGACACATCATAAAGATGAGATACACTGACCAGAAGTGGTGGCTCACACCTGTAATCCTAGAACTCTGGAAGGTTGAGGCCTGAGGATTGCTTGAGACCAGGAATTTGAGGTTGCAGTGAGCTATGATGATGCCACTGCACTCTAGCTGGGGTGACAAAACAAGACTCTGTCTCAAAAAAAAAAAAAAGAGATACACGAGTAGATGTTCTCCTATCTGACCATCCCTCTACCCATTTTAAGTATACATATTCTGCATATCACCCAATCTCCATCTTCAGCATGATATAACAAAAACGATGTTGGCTTTGGTGTCAAACATACTTAAGTTCAAATCCCAGATATGTAACCAACTTTCTTAACTTTCTGATCTTCACATCTTCCCATGATTTTAGTGAGGATAAATAAAACTGTATATAAGTGCCTATCCCACTTGGCAAAAAAAAAATAGGCTTTTAACAAAATGTTCTACCCCTCAGGGTAAGCTGTGACTACTCACATTCACAAAGTGCTTACCATATGCCAGGTACTGTTCTAAAAGCTTTACGTGAGAACTCTCAATTCTTAAAATAATCCCATGAAGTAAGTACTATTAGTACTCTCAATTTATAGATGAGGAAACCAAAGCACAAAGGTTAGTTAACATGCCCAAAGTGAAACAAGTATGATGGATTAAAAAGGATTTGAACCCAAACAGTCCAGCTCAGAACCTGTGTTCTTAACCATTATATGATATCATCTCCCAAAGAAAAATGGAGAGTCAGAACACAGACTTATTGTGGCAATCCTTATTTTGTACTCAACAAAGAAGTCCTTCTTCTACCCTGCATCCTTTTAGCATGTGACAAACACACAGAACTTCTTTGGTTCAGAGTTCTAATAGTTCATGGACCCTCCCACCTCAGCAGGGAAAGCAAACAAAGACAGAGGAAAAAAAAAAAAAAAGGACAGGGAAGCATTACAGCTCCTTCAGAATTTGTCTAGCAGGTTTTCTAGCAACAACTGGAAAATGTCCCACAGGGGGAAAAAAGGACAAGAAAGGAGTGGAGAGGTGAAAGAGAAAGGGTGCTCTTGAAGGACAAAACGGATTATTCCCCTCGTCTCCTCATGCAAACCAAAGTAGTTCATTTATCCATTCCTTCATTTATTCATCCAGAAGGTACCTGCTATGTTTAAGGCACTAAGATGAGCGCTAAGACATGAATGACAAATAGTGCCTGGCCTTAAGACACAATTTAGAAGGCTGGTATATATCAGCTGCTATAGGCCAGGCATGGTAGCTCATGCCTGTAATCCTAGCACTCTGGAAGGCCGAGGCAGGAGGACTGCTCAACATCAGGAGTTCGAAACCAGCCTGAGCAAGAGCGAGACCCCCGTCTCTACCAAAAAAATAGAAAGAAATTAATTGGCCAACTAAAAATATAGAGAGGAAAAAATTAGCCAGGCGTGGTGGTGCATGCCTGTAGTCCCAGCTACTCAGGAAGCTGAGGCAGTAGGATCACTTGAGCCCAGGAGTTGGAGGGTTGCTGTAAGTTAGGTTGATGCCATGGCACTCTAGCCCAGGGAACAGAGTGAGAATCTGTCTAAAAAAAAAAAAGAAAAAAGAAAAAAAATAGAAAAAATTAACAGGGTGTGGTGGCGCATGCCTGTTGTCCCAGCTACTCGGGAGGCTGAGGCAGGAAGAGTCCAAGAGTTTGAGGTTGCTGTGAGCTAGGCTGATGCCATGGCACTCTAGCCCAGACAACAGGGGGAAAAAAAAAAAAAAAGGAAAAAGGTAAAAGAAGAAAAATAAAATAAAGGAGAAAAAAAGAAATAAAAAACAGCTGCCATAAAATATAATAAATGCCCTACCACACTCAAAATTGCAACCTACCCTTGCATTCTACTCCTGATCCTCTTACAATGCTCCTTTTCCCCTAGCACTTAACACTTTGTAACATACTATATAATTTACTGATAATGTTTTTCCCTGCTAGAATGTAACCCCCAAGAGGACAGAAGTTTCTGCCTGTTTTGTTCCTTGAGGTACTCCAAGCACTTACGGCAGTGCCTAGTATACAGTAATTAATAAAAACTTGAATCAATCGATCAACCAACCAATGCAAGTACTATTAAATGGAATAAAGAGAAGGATGATAGAAAGCTTTTGTTTACTGTTCTTTGCTACTAACTATACACCATTATTCTTGAATCTTACCTCAATTGTTGCTAACAAACTTAATTCTTCATATTGAATCCTGGCCCAATGTGGTGACTGATTTGGCTGTGCTTTTTGTTTTCGCTAGAAAGGGATTTGGTACAACAGTCAGGGCCTCCTGACACTATATGCAGCCAGACTAACAAAGAGGAAGCAGCACTTTGAACTATGTGTTTAATATAGACCATATTCATTGGCCCTTGTTGTTCTGCAAAGATGCTCCTCAGTTGTTTCATGGGCAGGACCCTTGCCTCACCATATAATTCCTGGCCAATACTTCCCAAAGTCAGTTTCTACATAGAAGGAGTTGGGAAAACAATGAAAAAAATTAAACATGGTATGTGAATGGGGCAGAAGGTGGAAAGTCAACCTTAAAAATGATTTTTGTCTTCTGCAATTTATGTGACAAGAGGCAGATAAAAAGCACCAAACCTATTTCTAGAACTTTCCCTCTCCTATCTACCAAGAGACTATTAAGAGTTTATGGCAAACTCATGTCTGCCCCTATCAACAGACACATGGCTCCAAATGATGATACCATGAAAAGGACTGGCCAAGGAGCTGGTACTAAGAAGTATCAAAGTTATTTTAACAACTTCTTCACTGAGTATTTACAAACCTCCCAGCTGGAAATAAAAACTGACTTAAATTGCTTGCTTTCTACTCTTTCCCCCTATAATCTGTAAAGTCAGGGTCCAAGAATTTATTCCACTGTATCGTATTTCCACAGAACCGTATTTCCACTGAACTTCAGACCTGCCTCACAAGTTGTGCTAAAGTTTTCCCATTTATAGGCCAATCTCTCCAGAGCAGTTCTGGAACTCAAAGGGGTTCTTGCCAGAAGGATCTGGGACAGCTGCACTAGTGTTACATTTCAACCATGTGTCCAATCAATGAACTGTGCTTCCACCAAGCATAAGTGACTTTTTCCTAGCACCCATTCTGCCTTCACTTTCAGATATGAAAAAATGTTTTCTGCCTTCTATGCTTATCTACTCTCCTTTTAAAAAAACAAAGTATGTATATGTGTATTTATATTTAGATATATTCACAGTATCTTTTTTTTCTTTAGAGAGTCTTGCTCTATCACCCAGGCTGAAGTGCAGTAGCACAGTCATAGCTCACTGTAACTTCAAACTCCTGGGCTCAAGGGATCCTCCCACTTCAGCCTCCTGAGTAGCTGGGACTACAGGAGTGTGCTACTACATGTGGCTTTTTTTTTTTTTTGGTAGAGACAAGGGGTCCAGCTCTCTTGCCCTTGAACTCATGTCCTTAAGTGATCCTCCCAGCTCAGCCTCCTAAAATGCTGGGATTATAGGTGTGAGCCACCTCTCATAGCCCATAGTACCTTTGGATTTTCCTTAATAGTCCCTGAAAGTCTGATATCCCAAAAGCATATTATTCCCTGCTCTGAACATTGTAAACGGATGGGAATGGAATTGGTCGTTAGACATTTACGACAAAACTCTCATTTTGACATTTCAACGCCTTCAGAGGAACACTCCTCAGCTTACCCACAAGCTTCAGACAAGGTCTTGCCCCCGGAATAAAAAAAAAAAGCCATTCTACTGCATATACCTTCAGGCTTCCCAAAACCTGATTAGGGAACAACCTCCTTTCCCCATGGCCCAGAACCCAAATAAGATTATACCTCTCCCAGATGAGATACTGAGCCTTTGGGACAACGGGTAGGAGACGGGGGTAGCTAGATACTGACGGGTCGACCCCCCAGATGCTGGCCTGAGGCTGAAGAAATGTGTCCGGGCTACTCACCAGGAAAGCGGAGAGGATACCTTGCAGAGCGTCCAGCTTTTCTTCTTCCTCCTCCTCCTGCAGGACACCCAGAATGTAGGCGCCGTAAACGGCTCGGTCCACTCCCAGCGCCTCCAATCGCCCGTCTAGCCACGATCCAAAGCTGCCGCTCCCGCCACCGCCGGAGGCGGCCGAGGCTACTTGGCTGGGCGCAGTCATCTTGGGGTCCGGGTCCTGCCGGCTCCCGGCGCGCCGACCGCAGTGCCTGACGGGCCGCGCCGCTGGCCCGCCGCGCATGCCCAGAGAGGGCGCCCACGCCCCTGCGTGCCGGGCGCACAGCCCTGGCGACCTGTGGTGACCCGCGGTGACCCGCTTGGGCGTATTGTAGCTTCTAAATAAAACGTCTTCGGGTAAGCGTGGTCACGTGCCCTCACAGGCTCCTTGGCGGGTGAGTGTTCCTAACAGACTCTTTCTACAGTTGGGGAAGTTGAGAGAGGTTCAGTAACTTAGCCAAAGTCACGCAGCTAATAACTAAACAGGACTGGAGCTCAACTTCGATCCCAGCGCTTCCGTCCACCTGACCGGGCTGCCCGTCCGCGCGCTCGTGGGTGCTACACCGCCCACTCGCACGCAGCTTTCCTGCAGGAGCCTGCGGACTCTGCCCGGAATACCCGTCGTCGCTGCAGACTGCTACCACCTTCGCCTTTCCAAGCCCTCCCCCATCAAAACTCAAGTTCCAGAAAACTTTCCCTGATTCCCTGCAATCTGTGTGAAGAACACTCCAGCGTGCTGTGGTTGCTTCTCAGCACTTACCGTTTTGTACTTAACGCAGTACAGGACACATAATAGGCTCTAAATAAGTGACAGGCCACCTCAAGTCATTTCTTTTATTCAGTCATTGATTCAACGCCTACTTTACCCTCTGCCAGGCACTGTTCTGAGCTTTTCATGAATTAGATCTTGCAATCTTCCCTACAATCCTGTAAGATGCTTTTATTGTCCACATTTTGAAGATAAAGATACAGGTACAGAGTCACACAGCCTAGAGGGAGCCTGACCAGAGGCAAGAGCTCATCTGGCACAGCTGCCAGAGCCTCAGCTGACTGCAAAACACCTGGCCCTGGGTTGGAATCAGTTACCCAAGAACTTGGATTGGCTTTACCTGAAGTGCCAAGGAGGCTGGCAGTGCCATGGCCTAACTTCTTCCTTCACCAACTATTGAGTGCCTACAGCATGGCATTGTTGCTAGGTACTGAAAATACAAAAATGAATGTCACCAGATTTCTGTGTCCAGTGGGAACAGATGTGTTTAAACAAATAATGACAATATAGTGAAAGAAATTTTTTTTGTTTTTTGCATAGAAAGATTCTCTGAAGAATAAATGTTTTATTGGATCTTTGTCTAATGAGGTTGCAGTACGATGCCTGGAAGATTAAGTTAACTTTACCTGTTGGAGTGTTGTTGGCAGATCGTGGGAGGAGGAGCATGGGAAATCCAACCAGGCTTCTCGGTGGAGATGATCTTTGAACTTTCTTGAAGAATGAGTAAGAGATCTTTAGGTAAAGGGACTGGAAGGAAAAAAGGGGGAGATCTAGTTGCAGGGAACCATGTGTCCAAAGGCATGTTAGGAAGCACCACATGTACTCACCAGCAAATTGGTATTAACGGATCAATACCTAAGTGGACATATAGGAATAACATTTATTGGGTGTCAGGCAGGTGGGAGAGGGAAGGAGGGGATCGGTATATCCAAACATAATGAGTGAGATGTGCAACATCTGGGGAATGGTCACACTTGAAGCTCTGACTCAAGGGGGGTGGGCATGGGCAATATACGTAACCTTAACATTTGTGCCCCCATAATATGCTGAAATAATAAATAAATAATAATGTTTTTAAAAAGGCATGTTAGGGGCATCTAGAGAGTCATGTATGGCTTGAGCAACAAGGTTCAAATAAAAGAAATTCAGGAGATGACAACAACAAAAGAAGGAAAGGGACTTTTATACTTTCCAAAGGGCCTTCTCAGCGAGTTCCCTACCCTTATAAGTATTGCGATAGTATAAATGAATGGACACCAAATGAATGTCACAAATACTAATGCAGAAATACAGGAAAGTGAGAATTATAGTCCCATGGTTTCCATGTACTCTCTGAATTAGAATGTGACACTAATGGAGTCAGAGGCCAGAGTCAGCCCCCAAAGCTTGCCTCTTTTTCAAGTCTTCAAATGTTCCCTGTTTTGTTTTGGTTTTTTTGAGACAGAGTCTCACTGTGTTGCCCAGGCTAGAGTGCCATGGCGTCAGCCTACCTCACAGCAACTTTAAACTCCTGGGCTCAAGCAATCCTCCTGTCTCAGCCTCCCGAGTAGCTGAGACTACAGGCATGCACCACCATGCCCGGCTAATTTTTTTATATATATTTTCAGTTGGCCAATTTCTTTCTATTTTTAGTAGAAATGGAGTCTTGCTCTTGCTCAGGCTGGTCTCAAACTCCTGAGCTCAAACAATCTGTCCACCTTGGCCTTCCAGAGTGCTAGGTGAGCTCAGATGTTCTTTCTAATCCAGTGGCTGTCTTTTAGGTGATGATTTTCAGTTCACAGCCTTGGGTGCCATCATGGCTCAAGGATCAGAGTTTGAGGTCAGTGCAGAACCCCCATACCAGAAAAGTATCCCAAACTTGTGTGTTTTTTAGAAATACTTACAGACTCACAAGAAGCTTCAAAGATAGTACATAGAGTCCTGCACACCTTCACCCATTTTCCCCCAGTAATGATATTGGTAAAACACACAAACCTCTTTTGAAGGCATCAACAAGCCTCTCACAAAACTGAGTGAAGGCTCTCTAGACCTTAAATTTTAAGACTATCCTCATTGGCTATTTTATATTAAAAGTAACAATTTGCTAAAAAATATTCATACAAATGGACAAAAGACAAACATCTTATAGAAATTAAAATTTGCAATTAAAACTGCAGTGGGGCCAGGCCTGGTGGCTCACACCTGTAATCCTAGTACTCTGGGAGGCCAAGGCAGGAGGATCGCTCAAGGTCAGGAGTTCAAAACCAGCTTGAGCAAGAGCGAGACTCTGTCTCTACTAAAAATAGAAAGAAATTAATTGGCCAACTAAAAATATATAGAAAAAATTAGCCAGGCATGGTGGCACATGCCTGTAGTCCCAGCTACTTGGGAGGCTGAGACAGAAGAATTGCTTGAGCCCAGGAGTTTGAGGTTGCTGTGAGCTAGGCTGACGCCACGGCACTCTAGCTCGGGCAACACAGTGAGACTCTGTCTCCAAAAATAAAATAAAAATTAAAAAATTAGGCCAGGAGCGGTGGCTCACACCTGTAATCCTAGCACTCTGGGAGGCCGAGGCAGGTAGATCCCTCAAGATCAGGAGTTCAAAACCAGCTTGAGCAAGAGCGAGACCCCGTCTCTACTATAAATTCAAAGAAATGAATTGGCCAACTAAAAACATATATATATAAAATTAGCCGGGCATGGTGGCGCATGCCTGTAGTCCCAGCTATTCAGGAGACCGAGGCAGGAGGATCGCTTGAGCCCAGGAGTTTGAGGTTGCTGTGAGCTAGGCTGACGCCACGACACTCACTCTAGCCTGGGCAACAAAGCGAGACTCTGTCTCAAAAAAAAAAGTCTGATAATATACTCTGTTGACCTCTGATTAGGTAACAGGCACAGGAAAATGTTGGAGCAGGAAGTAAATCAACATAATCTTGTTGGAGGGATGTTTGAAAAAACCCATCATTTCTACTTCTGGGAATTTATTATAATACATGTGTGCAGAATGCCACGTTTATAAGGATATTCATTGCAGTGAAGCTTCGTGTAGTAAAAGGACAGAAATAGTCTACATTCTATATGTAGGAGACTGGCTCCAAAAAAGTCCATGTAGCCAAACAAAGAAGTATTGTACAGCTATAAAAAGGAACAAAGAAGCTCTTTATGTACTGACATGTAACAAAATTCAAGATATATTGTTAAAAAGTGAAGCTCAGAATAGCGTGTAATGTTTGTTACCATTAGTGTTTAAAAAGGTGAGGAAGGGGAATATGTATACATGTGTGTCCTAGTATGTGCATGGAATATCTCTGGAAAGATACACACGGGATGTGAGGATGGTGGTCACTGTGGAGAACTCAGGGAGACTAGTTTTGAGCTATTTGTCATATGTCTTTGCTTTGCATCTTTTTTTTTTAAAAGAAATACAGCCTCTATAAGCTGCACTAGATGTTAAAAAAAAAAGAAAAGAAAAGAAAGAAATACAGGCTGGGCGCGGTGGCTCACGCCTGTAATCCTAGCTCTCTGGGAGGCCAAGACGGGCGGATTGCTAGAGGTCAGGAGTTCAAAACCAGCCTGAGCAAGAGCGAGACTACTATAAATAGAAAGAAATTAATTAGTCAACTAATATATATAGAAAAAATTAGCCGGGCATGGTGGCGCATGCCTGTAGTCCCAGCTACTTGGGAGGCTGAGGCAGAAGGATTGCTTGAGCCCTGGAGTTTGAGGTTGCTGTGAGCTAGGCTGACGCCAGGGCACTCACTCTAGCCTGGGCAACAAAGCGAGACTCTGTCTCAAAAAAAAAAGACAGCCTATTTGAAGCCCTTCCTTCAATCTCATTTACTTAGCTCCCTCCCCAGGGTAACCACTATTCCTGAATTTAGTGTTTATCTTCCTCTTGAATGTTTTTAAACACAATGCATATATATACATGTTACAACATATGTATATTCATAAACAATGTATCATATGATTTTGCATGCTGTACTTTTCATCCTGCAATGTGCCTTTTTCACTTAGGATTGCTTCAAATATTTACCCATGTTGGTACATGTAGCTCTTATCCATTCACTTAAATCACTGTATAGTATTCCATTGTTTGAATATACCTCAATTGATCCATTCCTCTGTTGATAGACATTTAGGTTATTTCCCAGTTTTCCGAACAGTGCTTCAATTCACATTGTCATATAGTCTCCTTGACTGCTGGTAGGAAAGTTTCTCTAGAACAGTGAGCATCAAACACATATTCATATTTTTACCCCATACTCTTAGCAGTAAAAATATCTTCAGCATGCACTCCAAGGTAAGAAGATGTAGTTATTATACTTATGAATTATTTATATGAAATGGTTTGCCAAATTAGTATGTCATAAGTCATGCAAAAAGAGAACTATTAATATAAAAAGGGTAACTAAAAAGTGAAGTAAATAACATGTTATAAATATTTATTTACTTATTTGTGGTACCAAAAATCCTCAGTAAAAAAATGTTGGCCAGGTAAGGTGGCTCCCACCTATAATCACAGTGCTTTGGGAGGTCGAGGCAGGAGGAGTTTGAGGCTGCAGAGAGCTATGATAATGCCACTGCACTCCAGCCTGGGTGAAAAAGTAAGACCCTGTCTCTTAAAAAAAAAAAAAAAAAGAATAAATAAATAATATGGTTGAAGATGCTTCATTACTCCTCCCCCATTAATTAATTTATTTTTTATTTATTTTTGAGATGGGCTAAAGGATCTGCTTGCAAGATAGATAATAGCATGAGTGGCAAATTGGTGCTGGTTATTAGTAGGAAACTTCCGGTCCTCTTTATGTGAGCCTCTCCACGAGCGTACTTGAGTACCCTCATGTCATGAGTGCTGGCTTCCTCCAGAGCAGGTGATCCAAGAAACAGTAATGTAGATGTCTAAATGTCTTTTATGACATTTCAGAAGTAACAGACATTTCAGAAGTAACACATTATCCTTTCCTCAATGTTCTGTTGGTTACATGGCCCTATTTAACCAGGAGGCAAGGATCCCTGTAGGCTATCTTGGAGACTGGCTACCACAATGTGGGTATTTTAAAATTTATGTATACATATATACATTTTTTTTTCTTTTTTGGAGATTAGGTCTCACTATGTTGCCCAGGCTGGCCACCAACTTCTGGGCTCAAGCAATCTTCCCACCCCAGCCTCCTGAGTAGCTGAGCCTACAGGCATGTGCCACCACACCCAGCTTAAATTTATATTTATGGGCCAGGTGTTGTGGCTCACACCTGTAATCCTAGCACTCTGGGATGCTGAGGTAGATAGATCGTTTGAGCTCAGGAGTTCGAGACCAGCCTGAGCAAGAGTGAGACCCTGTCTCTACTAAAAATAGAAAGAAATTAGCTGGACAACTAAATAGAAAAAATATGGCCGGGCATGGTGGCACATGCCTGTAGTCCCAGCTACTTGGGAGGCTAAGGCAGAAGGACTGCTTGAGCCCAGGAGTTTGAGTTGCTGTGAGCTAGGCTGATGCCATGGCACTCTACTCAAGGCAACAGAATGAGACTCGGTCTCAAAAAAAATTAAATTTATAAATACAAACATTTTGTATTATATAGTATATATATTTGTATATAAATATATAAAATAATGTTTATTGATATTTACCATATTAGACATTAAAACAAAAATTTTAAATACTAGTTAATTTAAAACTAAGCCCTCTCTATGTGTTAATATCAATAATGTTTTTCTAATGAAAATATATTTTCCAAAACAAAAACAATTACAACAAACATAATTGTTTTACATTTCTGCAAATCTCTTTAATACCTGGTTTAACAGAAGAAATAGGATTCTTATTTCTGCTTCTGCATATTCCACTGAACATTCATGAGAGAATGAGAATAAAAATAGAAAATAATTTTTTTAAAAGCCAGTCAAATTTAGCAGTGGGAGGTTGAATACCAACCTTAGTGACACTAATGTTAATAAGTTCTGATAACCCACTACCATTGGACCAGCCAAGAAAATAATTTCTTGGTGTTATTATAAAAATAGTTTTAGACCCTTGGAACCTTCTGGAGGAGACCAAACCACACTGTGAGAACCTCGATCTTCATTATGATATGGTAACAAATAGTCCCAACATCTCAGTAGCTTACAACAAAGGTTTATTTCTTGCTGTAAATCTATTATGGGTTTTCCATGGTTCTGTTCTATGTCATCTTCACTAAAAACCCAAGTTGACAAGTATCCTCTAGTTGGGACATTGCTAGTCATCATGATGGAAAAAGAGAACATGGGGAATCATTCTGGCTCTTAAGGCTTCCGCTTGGACGTGATATGTCTCATTTTTCTTTCTTTTTTCGTGAGCCAAAGTAAGTCACATGTCCAAGCCTTAGTTCATCAGGGCTGAGATATATAGTCTTCCTGCAGAGAGGGGCAGCACTGGAAGAGATAACAAGTATGCGTGCTATGTATATCTCTACCATAGTATTTTTTTTTTGAGACAGTCTCACTCTGTTACCCTGAGTAGAGTGCCATGACGTCAGCCTAGCTCACAACATCCTCAAACTCCCGGGCTCAAGCAATCCTTCTGCCTCAGCCTCCTGAGTAGCTGGGATTATAGGCATGCACCACCATGCCCAGCTAATTTTTTGCATATATATTTTTAGTTGTCCAGCTAATTTCTTTCTATTTTTAGTAGAGACGGGGTCTGGCTCTTGCTCAGGCTGGTCTCGAACCCTTGAGCTCGAACAATCTACCCACCTCGGCCTCCCAGAATACTAGGATTACAGGTGCGAGCCGCCACGTCCAGCCTCTACCACAGTATTTTAAAAAATGTCACTCTGGTTGCTGCATGGAGAATGGATTATATTGGGGAGAGGTAGGAAGCTTCTCAAGAGTAGGAGTGATGTTAGGAACTGACTGCAGTACTTTAGCCAAGAAATGATAGTGATTTGGACCAGGGTAGTAATAGTTGTCTGATTCAAGATGCACTTTGGAGGCAGAGTTAGTAAGATTTGTTCTTGGAGTGGGGGTGGACATAAGAGAAAGTACTGTAAGATAACTTCTAGGTTTTTAGTTTCAGTAACTGGGTGGATAACGGTAACACTGAGATAAGGAAGTCTGGGAGAAGAACAGGTGGGAGGGTGGAACAAATGTTCTGTTTTGAACATGTTAAGCTTGAGGTGCTTATTAGATGTCCAGTAGGCACTTAAATATCTAAATGTGGAGATCAGGGAGAGGGGTAAGAGCTAGAGATAGAAGGTCGGAAGGTATTAGCATAGAGCTGAATTGTAAAGCCAAGAAGCTGGATGAGATCTCCTAGGGGATAAGGGGTAAAACGTAGGCATGCTCCAACATTTATAGGTCAACCTTGGCTTTGGATCCAGCAAAGGAGATTGAGGAGGAGCCACTGAGGTAAGGTGAAAATTGGTAGAGTGCTGAGTCATGAAAGCAAAGAGAAGAAAGTGTTGTGAGGAGGGACTAATCTCTTCCATGTTCTAGAAGTTGGATATGATGAGGATAGTATTTGGGAACATGGAAGTAACAGCTGATCTGAACAAGTAGTTTTTAGTGGAAAGGTAAGGATCAACGTCTAACTAGATGCGTTAAAAAAAAAAAGATCTGCAGAGGACAGGTAAGGCTAAAATTTAAAAAGAAAAAAAAGAGAGAGAAGTAAGGAATGCAGACATCTCTTTTGATAAGTTTTTTGTTGGGTAGGTAAGTGGAGAAAAGAGAGGAGGACAAAGATTCAAGGATGAAATGATGTGTAAATGAAATCTTTATATGTAAACTGCAAATGCTCTATAAGGGTCAGGCTTGTAATTTACTATTCAAACTCTTAGAAATTTCAAACCAGCTCAGTGTGAAGAGTCCCTAAGACGCTACCACGAATCCTCAGTTTGCGGGACAAGAAGGCGCAAAGTCCGCCAGCCAATGAAAAGCCGAGAAATGCTGAGCCAAATTGTGAAGGCAGCGTGAAAGGCAAAAGGGGTGGGGAGTGAAAAAAAAGGATTTGCGGAATTAATATTGTCCTTCCAAGGACACCGTAGGGCAGATCTTGCAGCTACTACAGTGTTTTCGGGGCGGAGCCAGTAGGAAATTTAAACTGTAGCCGCGCCGAAGACGCCTAGAGAATGATATTGTAGCTGAACAGGAATAACGAGGACTCGGGAGTCTGAGAAAGCTCACGGAGCTCGCGAATGTAATACGGAGGCCTTGAGGAAGGAGTACGGAGGCCGAGAAGGAGCCGGGAATTTGATGAGCGAGCCGGGAAAGGGTACGGATGCCCGGAAGGGGAGAAAGGAGTAAGAAGGAAGGCGGAAGGGGTCAGAAGAGACCCCGCACTGAGGAGAAATTCGGGTGTCAGGGAGTGGGCATAGAAATTGAGGAGTGGGTAGGTGCAGAAGCTGAGGGTATCTGGGCCAGGAAGGGGTCACAGCAGTTGAGGGGACAGAGGTCAAAAGGAAGCGGAGGGACTCAGGGACAAGAGCCTGGAGGAAGGTACGGAATTGAAGTGAACAAGGGATGGCAAAGAAGTCACGGAAGTTGAGGTAGCTCAGTCTGAAAGGGGTCGGGGAGATTGAGGGGCAAGAGCCTGGGAGGAGGCGCGAGAGTTGAGCTGAGACGTTGGTCAGGATGGAGTTGAGTCTTGCGGTTTCTGGGAGCCGCGTAGGGGGATTGTGCGGGGTTTGGGAGACGGTGCGGGCGGGGGTAAGAATGAAGGTCGAAGGCTGGTGAAGGTGGTTGCGCCTCTGTTTTGTCCTTCTTTCTCAGGAGAAGATTACCTAGAGCTGGAGAGCTCCATGGCTGAGAGTAGGCTCCGGGCTCCAGACCTAGGTGGGTAACAGGTCAGAAACTAGGGATGTGAGGTCAAAGTTGCTACTCTTGCCCCAGGGTCTCTTAGAAGGAAAGGCTGAGAAATTTTAGCCCTCTTGGAGTTCTCTGATCACTCAGTGATTTTTGTGTGTGGAGGGGGTGTCATAGATCGTTTAGGAATTCATGGTAAAGATCAAACAAGAGTCAGATATTATAAACAAAATTACCTGACATGCTGAGTCAGGATAGAGTAACTTATTAAACGTCTAAGTTAGTAAAAATAACTTATATCCATGGTTATGTTTATTTTAAAATCCTTAAGTTTATCGATAAACACTGCCACCCAATTAGATAAGTATTTTAGAACATGGTCATTTCCCTCGGTACTCCCCCTCCTTAGTATCTTCTAGTTTTAGTTCTAGGTAGTTACCATATGCCATTTGGTTGTCACCTTTTAAACAGTAATACACTTTACTAAGTTATTTATTTGTCCTGCCCATATGTTGTTGCTTTTGCTTTCTTTTGGATCTATTTTGCTTTTTGCCTGAGAGCTTTCTTCAAGAGTGTTTTCAAGGGGGGGGCTTTGTGTGGTGAACTTTCTGAGGCTTGTGTGCCTGAGAATGTCTTTATTTTACCCTTGTTTTTTTGTTGTTGTTGTTTTGGTTTGGTTTTTTGTGGGGTTTTTTTGTTTGTTTGTTTTTAATTGAGACAGAGTCTCACTTTGTTGCCCAGACTAGAGTGAGTGCCATGGGTCAGCCTAGCTCACAGCAACCTCAAACTCCTGGGCTCAAGCGATCCTACTGCCTCAGCCTCCCAAGTAGCTGGGACTACAGGCATGTACCACCATGCCCGGCTAATTTTTTCTATATGTATTAGTTGGCCAATTAATTTCTTTCTATTTATAGTAGAGACGGGGTCTCGCTCTTGCTCAGGCTGGTTTCCAACTCCTGACCTCAAGCAATCCACCCGCCTCGGCCTCCCAGAGTGCTAGGATTACAGGCGTGAGCCACCGTGTTCAGCCGGTTTTTTGTGTTTTGAGGGAGCGATTGAAACAGTTCTACTTAGAACAACTCTTTTCACAGATACTTGCAGGACTCTCTCTTACTTCGAGTATGTCACCTTCCTTAATAAGACTTTCCCTAGACAACTTCTAACAGCTCGTGTTAGAGACAGAGTTTTTCTATATTACCTACGTTGGCCTTGAACTCCTAGGCTCAAGCTATTCTCCCACCTCAGCCTCCTGAGTAGTTGGGACTACAGATGTGAGCCACTGCACCTAGCACTGTACAAGTTTTCATCTAAACATCTTTTCATTTCTCTTGGGTATATGCCTAGGAGTAGAATTGCTGGGTCATATGTTAACTTTACATTTAACATTTTCAGAAATTGTCAAACTGTTTTCCACAGTGGTTGTACCATTTTACGTTCCCATCAGCAGTGTTGAAGGCCCCAATTTCTCCACATCTGAGCTTTGTGAGGGTAGGAGCTCTAGCTTCCCAGTTGTCTTTGTGTGCCTAGGACCTAGCGTGGGGCATAGCACACAGACTGGGTGGCCAGGCTTGCAGGACTCTCTCTTAACTCAGGCTTCTTACTTTGCTTCTCTTTGTCGTTTTCTAGATGCTCAGCTAGGAGTTTCCAGTTGTCTGGAAAAATGCCACAGGAGCTCACAGGGTGCTGGGAGGCAGCCCTTTTCTGGAAAGTCCTTTTACTTGGATCTGCCAGCTGGCAAGAATCTCCAGTTTTTGACAGAGGCCATTCAGCATCTGGGTGGGGTATGTAACCTGCTTCTCTCATATGATAGCATGCATCTTTGCAGGTTGTAGGGCAGGAGTTGGAGAGGAATTATATCTGTGGTTTCTAGGTGTTTTTCAATGCCATCATTCTACATTTTCCAAAGCAATTTTAAATTTAAAATAAAGTTTTTTCCTAATTGGAAAAGTAATATCCATTCTAGAAAGTGTAGAGAACATGGAACTACAATTATAAGTGACAACCAGCATCTTTATATATATTTTTCTTTTTCCTTTCCTCCCATAATGGCTTTATATGATATATATAATAATTTACATACCATTAATGGTATTCACCCATTTTAAGTTCACAGTTCAGTGGTTTTCAGTATATTCACAGAGATGTGCAAATTGTGTGATCAGATCACATAGTCAATTTTAGAACATTTTCATCACCCCAAAAAAGAAACCTTGTACCCATTATCAGTCGATCATTCCCCACATCCTAGGAATATCCCCAGCTCTGGGTAAACACTCATCTACCTTCTGTCTTTGTCCTACCTTTGTTTTGTTATATTTGTTTTCTGTGTAGCTATGATCATGAATACATTTTTGTTTACCAACTTTTTACCCATGACTTAAAGAATTAGCACTTTCCTATCATTATCGACCTTCATATGCATTGTTTGTAATGGGAAAATAATATTGTTTTGAGTGGATTATTAATTTACTTAACTATTGCCCTATGGCATTTATTTATTTATTTAGAGACAGAGTCTTACTTTGTTGCCTGGGCTAGAGTGCTGTGGCATCAACCTAGCTCACAACAACCTCAAATTCCTGGGCTCAGGCAATCCTTCTGCCTCAGCCTCCTAAGTAGCTGGGACTACAGGCATGCACCACCATGCCCGGCTAAGTTTTTCTGTATATTTTTTAGTTGTCCAGCTAATTTTCTTTCTATTTTTAGTAGAGACGGGGTCTTGCTCTTGCTCAGGCTGGTCTCAAACTCCTGAGCTCAAACGATCCACCTGCCTTAGCCTCCCAGAGTGCTAGGATTACAGGCGTGAGCCACCGCGTCCAGCCCCATTTTTATTTTCAATGGTGTGCTGGGGCTGGCTCACAAGAGCCCGTTATTAGCGTCTCTTTCCAGCTCCTCATTTGGTACCATCATGTATTTACTCCCCAGAAAATGTACAAAACAGGTTACTTCCCCGCAGAGTCAGTCATTAAACATTTGCCAGGTCATCACTGCTTATTTCGATCTTCTCTTCTTCCCCCAAATGTGAGTTAAGAGTCATTATGTTTCAGGCACTGTGCTGGGTTCTTGGAATAAAAAGATAAGTCAGACCCTCTCAGTGCCCCTGAGGGGCTTATGGTCAGGTGGGACAAGCAGGTACCTATGCAGCTAAGTGTTAGCTAAAACCCATTTTGCTTCATTTGTTAGTCTCCTGTTTGTATTGTGATCAGAATTACAGATATAGTGTTTGGATGTGTATATTACCCAGAACAATTGTGGCTTAACGGAGCTGCTCTCAGTCCTGACAGCCCCTTCAATGTGTTCTTGCTGCAAACTCAAACTGGTCACATAACTCAAATCCTGTGGCCTTCTGCTCCTGGGTCAGGAGCAGCAGTTCTGGAGACAAAACCGTGCATTATGTATATAAACTCCATTATAGTTCAGGATGATGCCTTTTGGAGGACTTGGTACAGAACTGCATTTAGTCTATTTAAAGACATTGATTCTGGCACTTCTGGCAGCCAAGATTTCCTTCCCTAACCTCTTGATATCGATAATTCTACATTTGCTTTTTGGTTTTCAGCCACCTCTGTGATCTGGTTTCAGGTAATTGAGGGTTTTCTGAGCAAAGAAATAAGTTACATCGTGTCCAGCCGCAGAGAAGCAAAGGCAGAGAGCAGTGGAACAAGCCACAGAGCCTGCCCCAGCCCCAGCGAAGTCAGAGTAGAGCCAGCAGCCATAGCCCATCCAAGAGGCAGCCACACCAGGCCTTCACAGAAATCCATAGACTCGGTGAGAACCCCATGGGGTAGGAAAGGTGTATTCTGTAAACAAAGGAAGTAGGCTTTGGTGAGCCTTTTTAGGCAGTGTGGTTTTAATTTCATCTGGCTTAATTTAATCTCTAATTTAAATTCAGAGACTGAGAATATTTTATCATAGCTTTAGATCTAAACACCTCAGCAACATGCTATCCCTTCTATGTTATATGTCTTTTTTTTTTTTTTTTGGAGACAGGGTCTTAATCTGTTACCCAGGCTGTAGTGCAGTAGCACTAACATAGCTCACTGCAACCCCAAACTCCTGGGCTCAAGTGATCCTCCTGCCGCTGCCTCCCAAGTAGTTGGGACTATAGGCACACACCACCATGCTGGCTAATTGTTTTAATTATTTTTTGAAGAGATGGCATCTTGCTATGTTGCCCAGGCTGGTCTTGAACTCCTAGCCTCAAGCAGTCCTCCCACCTCAGTCTCCCAAAGCACTGGGATTACAGGTGTGAACCACTGCGCCTCGCCACTATATGTCACTTTTTATGGGACTTCAAAGTCAAAGATTCAGAAACAAGAGGAGAGTCTTCTGTAAACCAGAGAAGACCTGTTGGAATTAACCTAGGCTTAGGCAGAAGTACTCTGAAGAGGTAGCAGTTCCCTCTCCCTTGCTCTCATGTGTGAAGGTCCAACAGTTTGGACAATGCATGTGTCATGTCTTAGACTTAGAATGCAATATGGCTTTTTTACTCCTGGGCTTACATTCTTATTTTCTCTCTTAGGCTAGTATTAAAATGTCCATGAGCACATGCTATTGGCATTGTGATGAGAGATAGTTACTTCCAAGGAGCAAAAACCAGATTTTTTTAAAGGGAGACATTTGTTGTCATTATCTTCTGGAGAGTACAGAGACTCTTACAGAGAGGTCTAAGAACATCTGGAACAATTTGACCTCAGGTGGATTCTGAGTGCCTTTATCTACCAGGGTTTAGGCTGCGCAGGCAGCTACTTCTGGGTGACCTGAACTTGTGTGTGGCTTTACCTTTACCTGCTTAAGGTTTTCTAGGCTCTCATTTCTGCCAATCCTCAGCTGTCACTGCTCCTGGCTTTCTGAGGCACATCACCCCAAGACATCTTCACCAGCTCACTTGTAAACATCCGTTGGTACACAGGTGGTCTACATAGCAGACCTCATTCCTCTTCTTTCCGTCAGGTGCCTATGAGCAGAGGGAAGGAGCTGCTACAGAAGGCCATCAGGAAGCAGGTGAGCTGGGGCAAGGTGGAATGGAGGTAGATGGTCTCCAGCACAGGGAAAGATTCAGCCATTCCCAAGTACTCACTCAACATGCACACTCTGTGAGGTGTGTGGTATTGTCATTATTTCCTTACAAATTAGGGAGTGGAGGCTCAGAGAAGTCAAGTAATTTGTCCAGAGTCACCTAGGGAGTAAGTATTCAAGCCAGAGCCAATCTAACTCCAGAGCCTACCAAGAGAACCTTGGAGGGAGTGGCAGGATATGTCTACTCTGCACAGAAGCTAGACTTTGTATGTCTTTTACAAGTAGTCATTTGTCCCTTTTATAGGAATCCAGGACCATTACATTACAGTTAAGTGGAAGGAAAGGACTTAAGGTGATATTGTGAGAATTGTGCAAATGATATCAAGAAGGGTACATTGAGGCCAGGCGTAGTGGTTCACACCTGTAATCCCAGCACTTTGGGAGGCCGAGGTGGGAGAATCAATCACTTAAGACCAGGATTTCAAGACTAGCCTGGGTGCATAGTGAGATGCTGTCTCTACAAAAAATTTAAAAATTAGCCAGGTACAGTGGTGCACACCTGTATTCCTAGCTATTCTGGAGGGTGAGGCAGGAGGATCATTTGAGGTCAGGAGTTGGAGGTTGCAGTGAGCTGTCCTCAGACCACTGCACTCTAGCCTGGGAGACAGAGCAAGACCTCATCTCTTTAAAAAAAAAAGAAGAAGAAGAAGAAGGATACATTGGCTGTGGTGAGGGAGATGGTGCTGCCAGACTGAGCCAGCATGGTGGGGGAAAGTCTGCAGCCACCATAGTTTCCGGCTCTATGTTGATGGCCACTGGTATTTATTGTACACTATGTGCTAACAGCTTTCCTCACAGAGGCTCTCCCAACAAACAGCTCTCTTAGAAGCATGTGTTCCTTCTTAGTCCAAGGTTCCTTCTTAGTCCAGGATGTATAGGCAGATCAGCAGTCCATCCCCTGCAGATCATGGCAAGCTCGTAGGAAGGACAGGGTATCTTCCTGGAGGGTTGGGATGGATTCTCCGGGCACTGTGTTCTCTCCCCTACCTGTCTTCCCCTAATTTTCCCCAGCCCCCATGGATGGCTCAGGGTTTTCAGAAGCCATTTCAACCTCAACCTGTCCCTGTCATGTGCAGGCCTTGGGAAGTCTCAAGCTTTGTCATTTCAGGGGAGCAGCAGTGGAGGAGGCAGTGGAAGCAGCAGCAACCTCCTGACCAACGCCCGCTCCTGGGGAGTGAGGATTCTACACGTGGATGGTACCATTCCTGCCCTGGGCTCCTATGGAGGGGAGTTGATGACTTTGGGAATGTCAACTTTTAGAGGCATGATGGTTATGTATGCATCTGGTAGCTAGAAGCCAGAAGTACTCAGTGACCATGTTGATCCACAAAGGTGAGAGGGTGTGGGGGAGGAGACAAGCAGTAATGACAACTGAGTGCGGGCTGTGGCTTCATCATTGTGCAGGTACCTAGAACATGCTATTTGGTTTAACCTACTATGGCTTTCTTCAAACTAGTGTAATGATCCTGTTCTCCAAATAAGGAAATGATCCTAATATTCATGGTCCCTTATCAGGTATTTACCCTATGCTAGGAATTACTTCATTTAATCCTCACAGCAATCCCGCCCACATTGTACTGATGAGGAAGTTGAGCCTCAGAGGGATTAGGTAAATTGTCCCTGGTCTCACCAATTGTCCATGGTCTTCCAGAGTGAGTAGTGTGGCCCATGTTCCAACCCAGTTTGACCCAGCTATAAATTTTGTGTTCATTCTTTTCTGTAGGATTGCCTCAAACTCTAAACAACCTGTTTGTGGGCTCTAATAAATTTATACTAGAATAGTTGCTGTGATGGGTGGGGCACAGTAGCTCACACCTGTAATCCTAGCACTTTGGGAGGCTGAAGCAGGAGGATTGCTTGAGGTCAGGAGTTTGAGACCAGCCTGAGCAAGAGAGAGACCCCATCTCTACAAAAAATAGACAAAATTAGCCAGGCTTGGGGGCATGCACCTCTAGTCCCAGATGCTCAGAAGGCTGAGGCAGGATGACCACTTGAGGCCAGGAATTTGAGGTTGTACTGAACTATGCTGATGCCACTGCACTCTACCTAGGGTGATAGAGCAAGACTCTGTCTCAAAAAACAAAAAAGAATAGTTGTCCCAAATTGGCTGGCAGTGACTAATCTAATACCCAGCTTCACTCTGAGTCTGGGGTTTTCTTGATTCATTTTAGGGGGCTGGTGCAGATGAGACAGACCCCATGCTGACCAGGGTGCTGCCCCACCCTTTGGTACCAAGAGCGTCTAGGGGCTGTACAGGAGAAGTTCCTGGTCTAGGGTGTGGAAGGTTTCATGTCACTAAAAAATCAGCCATTTCTGACTTGATCTCATTTCATGTCCTCAGTGTTGGAGAAGCTCCAATGTGCTTAGCCCCTGCTGGGTCTTCTACGTAAGGGTACATCTGAGTAGCTCATATGGCTTGGTCTTCCCTACAGAAGCAGCTCTTCAGTAGTACTTTAAAGAACTTAGTGAGCCATGAGTCACCTCCCGTTCAATAATGAGTTGTAACTGATGCTACAAAAGAACATTAAGCCAGCTTAGGTGCTTTTCTGGGCATAGAGGACCTAGCCCTTTTGTTGTCAGAAGATGCAGAGGTGACATGTAGCCAGAAGGTGGCAGGCAAGGCTGGTATGATCCAATGGGGTGCGCTAGGGAGAAGTTTAGTCCTGTAGCCCTGGAAGGGGCTGTGCTGTATAAATGAGGAATGGAAGCCTTTGGCCACAGCCTTCTGTCTTCTCCATAGAAATGATGATGCACGTGCAGCAGCTGTCTCTTGGTCCTTTATGTGTGAAGAAACAAGAGCCAAAGAAACCAGAGGTAAGTCATCCTACTAAACTGAAGGGCAGATGGATGGTTTTCAGTGACGTCTATGACAATCCATGGCCTGCCCAAGCCATCTCTTCCTGGCCATTCTGGAAGAGGAGTGCAGCCTCTCAGTTACCTCATTCCTGGTGTCCACAGCTTTGCGCCACCCTTTCTTTTCTTGCCTGTGGTACCTGCAACTCTTCCATGGCACACTTACCCTGCCAAGGCATCACTATGGCCTGGGCTGTGGGCTGCCTATGGTAGTCCTGGCCTAGATAAAATTCATAAATGCTCGTGGCCCACTGGCCAGGCTGCCATTCTAGAAATAGCCCCTGGCCTGGGAGTGAGCCTAAAGATTGTGGATGGAAGGTTGAAATAGCTGCCATCTTCCAAATCCTTGTTTGTTTTTTTCATTTCTTTGCTGGGGTTAGAACTGTGTGTATCACATCAAGATAGCCCAGGCTGACTCAACGCCATAGTGTCTTCACCCAAGCTTAAGTCCAAGGAAGGAGTAAACCTGTTACTCTACTCCAGGCCTGGCTTCCAGGAGCAGAACTGACAGCAGCAGCAAACCACATTCAAAGTGGATGCAGCGCTGAGCTGCTTACACCTCTCTATGTACCCTGTGCTCTAGGAGATTTAGGGGTTTTGCTACTGTTTAACAGATTTGTGTTGTTCAGAATTCAAAAGGGTACGCAATGAAAAGTCTCTCTTCTCTCTAGTTTCTGCTCCCCAGCTACTGACCTCCCTCCTTGACATAAACAATGTGAACAGTTGCTCAGGTATCCTTCTATGACTCTGTACACATATTAATACAAGCAAATATGTCAGAAATTCCCCCTTTTGGCCAGGTGCAGTGGCTCACACCTGTAATCCTAGCACTCTGGGAAGCGGAGGCGGGAGGATTGCTTGAGCTCAGGAGTTTGAGACCAGCCTGAGCAAGAGTGAGACCCAGACTCTACTAAGACTAGAAAAAATTAGCCAGTCAACTGAAAATGAAACAAAAAATTAGCGGGGCATGGTGGTGGCACATGCCTGTAGTCCCAGCTACTCAGGAGGCTGAGGCAAGAGGATCGCTTGAGCCCAGGAGTTAGAGGTTGCTGTGAGCTAGGCTGATACCATGGCACTCACTCTAGCCTGGGCAACAAGAAAGACTCTGCCCCCCCCCAAAAAAAAGAAATTTCCCCCTTTTATGCAAAGCACAGCATTTTTACTTTGCTTTAACTTAATCTGTTTTGTAGATATCTAAGTTTTTTGGAGTGCGTTTTGTATATAATCTGCTGATATGCAAAGGACTATAGAAGACTTCTCTGGGTTGTACTTGCCCTCAAGGTGTGGCCTAGAGGAGAATTGGGAACCTTCTTGCATCCAGAGGCACAGGAAGTCATGGATCCACTGGATCTCTCCATATGGGTCTCCCAGCTCTTTCGCTGATTTTTTATTTTAATCCATTTCATTTTTATTTTATTTTTTCAGGTATAGATCACCAGAAGATCCATTTAGTTTTGAATATCAGCTTTGTTTGACCTTGGCTTAAACGTTGCTTTTGACCCACAGGGTCAGGTTGCACAAAATAGAGCATAAGAAAGCAAGTGGCCATTGTCTTCACCCTTGTCCTGTGAAATGACCTGTAACTGCAGCAATGCCTAGAAAATAAAGCTGCCATTTAGAGACCACCTACTCTGTGTCAGGTCTTTACATGCTTTAATCTAATTCATGCACATCCTATGAGATAGGCACAGCTCCAGTTCCCACACAGGCCTGTGGACTCAGAGCTCTTGCTGTTTGCACTGTCCTGCGTTCCCTCCACAGAGTCGGCTACCATCGAGATTCACACACTGCGTGCTCACCATTCATCATGTTGCTGAGGAGGCAGAGGGAGCCATTGTGCCCAGATCTTCTCTAGCTCAGGGCCTGTGAGTCTGGTTCTGCAGGTCTCACAACAGCAGGAAGCGAAGTGGGACAGACTGGCAGTGACTTGGCTTTTCAGCCCCAGTTCCTTGACCCCTGTGGCTCCCTCACATCCTTAACCTATTTTTCCTTTCCATTTAGGGAACATGTCCAGCAGCAGAGTCAAGAACGCGGAAAGGTCAGTATGGTAGCTTTTCCTCATTTAATTGCAATCCCTCCCTCCCTAAACACTTCCCCACGACTCCCTCTGTGGCAGCATCTGCTCACTTTTCTGCGGCAGGAAGCAAGTCCAGGTTGCATTGCCCCCTCGTGTTTCCAGGGCCTTGGCCTCAGTTTTCTGGGGTGAGAGAGGTAAATCCAGAGCCACTGGGCCAGGGCTTCTACTCCTTTAGAGCCAAGACCCATGCAGACACTTTGGCTCCTGCATCCTCTGGCAGTTCCTGGGTATTGATTGAAGTTCAGCATCCTTTTCCTTCTGATTCAGTAGCAGTTTGGGGGTGGGCAGTTTGACAGCTGCCTACCGCTTTCAGAACTGCCAAACTCCCTGAAACTGACAAACAGGCAGATTGATGGACTCCGGCTACTGGCTTCTCTTGGACAGCAGGGGAGTTTCTCCCCCTGGATGTTTCTCCCAAAGATGTTCTTTAAGTGGCATTTATCCGTGCACAAACAGGAGCTAAGAAAAGTCACTTGGCACCTCTCTCATGCTCAAAATTCAGGGAAGTCTATGGGGGAATTGATTTTAATCACTGTCTCAGTTAATTAGAAAGACAAGAAATTGTCCCAAAGAAGTAATTAATGGGAGCTGCTGTTCAAGGAGAAAAGACTGGTTTTTGCTTGGATGCTAGCAGTGGCCTTGAGTACATTTGGGAGCTGTGAGGTACCAGCATCTTTGGGGAATCTGTGGCTGTCAGGTCTGGCCAGGCTGCCAGCCTGCCTTGGCTACCCCTTTGACAGGACTTCTGGTCACTGTGAGGTTAGAAGTAGTTCTTAATGCTTAAGAGATTTTTGTAAACTATGCAAATAACTAGCTAGTAGGGGGTGAATCTCTTGATTAATTGACTCCAAATTTGTCTTCTCAGCACCCGTTTGCCCTATTTTTTCAGGAACCAGATTTTACCTGTGATACTTGTCTGCCATCCTGTTACTGAGATTCCTTAATACTCTTTTTCCCTCTTCCTCTCTGCTCCTCCTCAAAAACACTGAGGGTCCCCATGAAAAATTCCACCTGCGGAGTATTCTCAAGCCTCTCAGGATTCTGAGGCACCAGGGTCAGAGGTCTAGGGAGAACCTAGGACTTTGTGGATCTGACCACCCTAATCCTGCTTTTAGCAGAAACCACCAGGGTCTGAGTATCTCCTACGGCCAGGTTTCTCATAGTAGCATTCTAGGTTAGTTGATAGTCTCCAGAACCCACATAAAGGAACTCCTGTGTGCTGCTGAGGGAGGGCACATTTAGGCCTGCAATTACCTTGCAGCTTCCCCCTGACTAGTGCAACCTTTCTCCCAGGCGGAGAGGCTGGAGGAGATGGAAGGGGTGCCTCAACTCTGCTGAATGGAAAGGCACAGCTTGGGACAGCATGATTTCCAGCTCTTATGAGGTTCTTAGGATTTGGCAGATCCTCGCCTCCCTGAGCATTTCCTGCGTGTATAGTGCGGGCCCTGCACTGGGGCAGAGAGCTAATGTGTGCGTTCTTCCCCTTCCAGTGGCCAGACTGAAGGCACCATTCCTCAAAATCGAAGATGAGAGCAGGTGAGTGGGCCTCCTCTCTGCTTGCTCCTGCACAGAGAAGGGAGAGGTGTTTAGGGGCCCCAATTTGACTTGGGGACATGGAGCCCTTCAGCCCTGCACCTTCATCTTCCCTAGAAAACACTTTCTCTCACTGTAATGAAGAAGTCTCATGAAGAACAGGAGCCTCTGAGGGTGACATCGTACGGTTGATGCTGCTCTTAGAGTTGAGTCTGAGGTTAATGGTCCTGTGTGTGAATTACCTCCATTTAATGCTCTGCTTCTGTGAGCTCACAATGTCCCAAACCAGGCTCATTACAGCTCCTCTTTTCTCCCTGGATGTGTGCTAACAGTTAATGTTGAATCATTACTGGCCCAGCCACAGTGCTAGTACAGTCCAAGACATCATGTTAGCTGAAGTGAAGAGGCTGGAGCTGCTATTGGGGATTCCCTTACAGGCCACCTGTACTTGATGAAGCCTTTCTGTTTTGCTTTGAAAAACTCTTTTCTGGCTCATGTGATCTCTTGACAGCCCTGGATGAAAAAAGCATGATGAGAGTCTATCTCTTCCTAACAGGGAAAACTGAGGTCAGAGTAAGTAAGGGGTTTGTGTAAAATTGTGATGCCAATAGACTGCAGCCTGAGGCTAGAATCCAGATGTCCTGACTGCCCTGTCTGGTGCCCTCTCTGTCCACCATCGTGGCCTCTTCTTACCTAGAACAGGAGGGGCCCATTAATGATGTTAACCTGATGAGCTATTAGCAGCCACTTTGGTTATCACTGAATCTTCAATAAGTACTAATCAAAAGCCCATGTGAAACTATCTCAAAATAAGACTTTTTTTTTTTTTTGAGACAGAGTCTCGCTTTGTTGCACAGGCTAGAGTGAGTGCCGTGGCGTCAGCCTAGCTCACAGCAACCTCAAACTCCTGGGCTCAAGCAATCCTTCTGCCTCAGCCTCCCGAGTAGCTGGGACTATAGGCATGTGCCACCACGCCCGGCTAATTTTATATATATATATATTAGTTGGCCAATTAATTTCTTTCTATTTATAGTAGAGACGGGGTCTTGCTCTTGCTCAGGCTGGTCTCAAACTCCTGACCTCGAGCAATCCGCCCGCCTCGGCCTCCCAAAGTGCTAGGATTACAGGCTTGAGCCACCGCGCCCGGCCAAAATAAGACATTTTTTAAAAAAGCAGTAAGTGCATATATAGCCAGCAGAGACTACTGGAGCCAGAATTGTCTGTGTGCCTCAGCAGGGCAGCTACAGACCCAGCCCGGAGCCTGGCTTGCCTGCCCATCCTCCAGACGGGCCCAGGTTCACTTCTCAGTGCCTGGAGATAGTGCAGAGCTGGTTTTGGTGGTGCAAAGACAGTAGAAAGCACTCTTCCATGATATGGAAGGTGCCCCTTCCAGTTCCAGTGGGATGGAGTCCATGTTCTTCAATTCCCGGCCCCTTGACACTGGTTTAACACAGGTGTTATGGCTCATATGCAGTAGCTGAGAAACACTGTCACAGCCTCAGTATCTGCACTGCACATGGCATATCACTGTCACCAGAGGGAGGATACATAATTTGTGTGCTCCTGGCATCATAAGCCAGAGGGGAGATCCAAGTGGAGCTGAGGTTTCTTATGATTTTTTTTCATGTGCTGTTTTGAAGCAAGTGCCCTGCAAAGCCCATTTGTCTGATCAAGTTCAAGTTCCAAGCCCCCTAAGCAGAAACAAAACATCATTGAAGAGGAAGAAAGGGAAGCTCCAGGGTTGTGAAGTCCATTCCCTTCTCCTTAAGAGTCCAAGAAGATTCATTTATAATTTCCCTGCTGAGACCACAAGGCTCTCACCCTTCCCCCAGAACCCATGCCCTGCACTCTCTCCTCTGAGTACGGACCATTGCAACCAAGCATGCTGTGCCCAGTGGTTACCTCAGTCAGCAGGGTTTGCTAAGTATACATCGACAGTTCTGGCTCTGAAAGTCTCTTAAATGTTTACAACTTGAGGCAAACTGCCAAAACCACTTGGTACAGGTCTAATTATCCAAAACCTTCACTGTGCCTCTCCCCTCCATTCAGAATGGCACCAAGGACCAACCTAGAGCAAAAACGCTTCCCTTCATGGAATAGGACAATCACTATTCTGGTTTAAGCATTCTTTCATTTATAGTCTTCCAGGCTAGAATCCTCAAAAGTTGTTGTAGGTTCAAGAAACAAAATGAGAAAGTGGGAGAAACCACACCAGGAGTATGGAGTGTGGTCTGGTCTTGGCCACTTATACTCGTGAGCCCTTGAGCAAGTCATGGAAATTTTGGGGCTTCCTTTCTTCACTTGTAAACAGGATAACACCACTTATTCCACTTAGCCCAGAGGGTGCTTGTAGGATCCCAGTGAGGCAGTGAGTGTAAATGTGTTTGAAAAGGAGACAGGGAGAATACAAGTATTAATTTAATGTAGAAAGGCTGGTGAGAATTTTGTTTTAGAACGTAAAAGATGTGGAGATGAGGGTTCACTTTATCAGGGTTGGAATTCTGGGGAGTGGGGCCAGTCCCCTCCTCAGCCTTTCCTTTCCCCATTGTAGTCAAAGTGGAAGTTTTCTGTGTTTCAGGAAGTTTCGTCCTTTCCATCATCAGTTTAAATCCTTTCCTGAAATTTCTTTTCTGGGACCCAAAGATGCAAGTCCCTTTGAGGCTCTGACGACCCGAGGCAGCTCACACCATACCAGGTGGGTCTCTCTGGTTCCTGAGTACCAAGGGCTGGTTATAGGCCAAAGTCCTCCCCCTCGGGGGCCTGCTGGTCAGATTTGAGAATGGCCATGTGTTTGCTCCTTAGGCGAAGTCTGTTTTGGGCACTTAGCCCAGAGAAGACAGACACTAGGAGTGCTCATCCATTGGGGGGGTTGGTGTTCTTCATCCCTACTAAAGAATTTAAATTGAGTGTCCAGAGATCAAAGGCTGGTTTCTCAAACTGGGATCTATAGACCCCCATCATCAGAGTCCCCTGAGGTCCCATAAAAAATGCAGATTTCTGGACTCCAGCCATACCTACAGAATCAGAATTTCTGATGGAGCCCCAAAAGCTGCATTACAAGCTCCTAGGTGATGTTGATACACATCAAAGTGTGAGACCTGTTGGGCTAAACATCAGGAATAACTAATAATAGGTAGGGGGCCAGAGAACTTGCTGCATTGTGTGGCCTGTGGTGGCTTGTTGGCTTGTTAATGTTACTACTCTGCAGATGTTTGAGAATTTGAACCTTCACTGACCAAATTAGAGAAGGAATTCAGCTCAAGTGGACTAGATGCCTCCTCAGACTGTTTCTAACTTCTGGGCCAAAGAGTTAGTTCACAGACCAGGAGAGTAGAATGGGGTAGACTCTCAGCCCAAGAGTTCCTAGAGCCAAGGAGGGCCTGTAGGTTCCATCAGCAGATGAAGGCTGTGGGTCAGAAAATAGTGCAAACAGGAGGGAAAAAAGAAAGGGAATGTAGGCCAGATGTAGTGGCTCATGCCTGTAATCCTAGCACTTTAGGAGGCTGAGGCAAAAGGATCGCTTGAGGCCAGAAGTTCCAGCCTGGGCAACATAGCAAAACCTCATCTCTACAAAATAAAAAAATTACCTGGGCATGGTGGTGTGTGCCTCTAGTCCCAGCTACTCGAGTGGCTGAGGCAGGAGGATCACTTGAGCCCAGGTGTTCAAGGATGCAGTGAGCTGTGATCACGCCACTCGCACTCTATCTGGGCTACAGAGCCAGAACAAGACTCTGTCTCTTAAAAAGAAAAAAAAGAATAATATAATATTTACTGTGCTGGATCTTGCTTTTTCTACCTAATATGTCTTAACATCTATTAATACTAAGGAGCATCCTTACCTAACCCTTTTGTGGCTGCAGAGTATTCCATGGTATGGAATTTATTTACTGTTATTTTATTTAACCAGTCTCTTATTGATGGATGCTTGGATTAGCTGCATTGCATAATCATGTTCAGTATAAATTTGTTATTGTTCAGGTATACTTGTGGAATAAATTCCTAAAGGTAAAAATGCTGGGTAAAGGAAGGTTACCTACATCTATAATTTTTTTGTTTTGTTTTGTTTTTTAGAGACAGGGTCTCACTCTGTCAGCCTAGAACTCCTGGCCTCTTCAGTCCTCGCACTTTGGCCTCTCAAAGTGCTGGGATTAGAGGCATGAGCCACCATGCCCAGCCTACATTTGTAATTTGATAAATGCAACTAAATTGTTTTTCATGGAGGTGATACCAATTTATACTCTCACCCACACTGTACAAGAGAGTGTGTTTCTCCATCCCCTTGCCTAATACTATGGCTATCAGACTTGACCGCTGCTAATCTGATAGATTAAAAACTATGTCTCAATATAATCATAATTTTTATTTTTTCTATGAATGAGGTTGAATATGTTTGCATATGTTTGATCATTTGAATCTTTTTTTTTTTTTTTTTTTTTTTTTTTTGAGACAGGGTCTTACTCTGTCACCCAGGCTGGAGTGCAGTGACATGATTATATAGCTATATAGCTCTCTATAACCTCTAACTCCTGGGCTCAAGTGATCCTCCCACCTCAGCCTCCTAAGTAGCTAGGATAACAGGCGTGTGTGCACCACCATGCCTGTCTGTTTTTTTGGTTTTTGGTGTTGTTGTTTTTTTCTTGAGACCCCATCCTTACCTGTGGTTTGAGATATGTGGGTGAGGAGAGGACAGAGATAGGACAGGCTGCCCACAGGGAGGTCTCATTTTCCTTGTTGCCTCTCCAGCTGCCCTTGGCTGGGTGGTGTAAGTATACAGCAGGCCTGCCTGCATGTGCCAGTCCCACCCCTTGGCCCTATTGGTCCTCCCCCTCCCTGGCCTGGGCTCCAGGCCCTGAGCAGCAGGTCCTCCTCTGAGGGCCCCAGCAGTCACCACTTTCCCACACTCGGTACCCTCTCCAGAGAACCCAAGGACCAAGAGCCAAGCCTGCAATCAACCGCCCACACCGTGCCCAGGAGGAAGAAAGGGTACTGCGAGTGCTGCCAGGAGGTCTTTGAGGAGCTCCATGTGGTGAGCCCCTTCCCCACTAAGCTGCTACTCCCAGAGTGTTCTGAGAGAGCCTGACCACCAGGGATGGGCCTTTCTTGCCCTGTCTCCTCCCTGGCATGGCCACATTCTCCAATGCCAGGGGACACTGGGAGCTCTGCTTGCCTCCCACCCCAACCTTGTCTAATGCCCTGTGCCTCCTCTCATCCCTGGGCAGCATCTTCAGAGCGCCCGGCACCAGGGCTTTGCCCTAGAAGCCCATCCCTATGCAGAAGTTGACCAGATCATCGCCCAGCTTAGCCACAGCTTTGCAGACATCCCCTTCCAGGCCAGCCTCCCCAGGTGAGCACCACACAGGCAGGCACGACCGCATCCTCACTCTGCTCCTATTGCCCTCTTTAGGTGGAAAGGAACACTCAGGTTGGCAGCTGTTGGGATCAGGCTGTGATCTTTTTCTCTTTTTTCACCTTTTTTTCCCACCATCCTCTGTCCTACTTGTCTTGGAGGTGGCCAAAAAAAAAAGAAAAAAAATAGATCTCCATTTGTGACTTCAGCTGATCAGGACTGGGCCCAGACTACAGTGTGGCTCCCTTTCTACCATATGGGCGTTGACATGGTAGGTGGTGAGCAGTTCTGACCAGCTAGAAGAGGAGTAGTTCCTGGGTCCCTCCCAGATGGGTGAACAGCAAGGTCATTCTCCCTCTTTGGAAGTTACCCCTAGAAGGAATGATTGCATGGGTTTGGTGGGAATTCCAAGGCCCTCCAAGCCTAGCTTCCCCCTGCTGTCTGCCAAGAGCAGACCCTATCCCACCTAGGGCTGTGGCTTCACATCTCACTTCTTCAAATTTCCACCTCTGGGCTCAGCTTAGACAACCAGGCTTTGTGCTGTTTTCCCCAGCCGCCAAAGGGCACAGCCTCATCTGTGAAGTCATTAAAGGAGCAGCCTCTAACCTGTTCCCCTGGCCAGCCCTGACCACAGCCTACAGAGCCGAGAGAAGTGTACACAGCGCTGGCTGCTGCTACAGGTTCAGACCCAGGAGAAAGCCTTTCACAGGGCTCCAGAGTGGGCAGTTCTCTCCTCAGCACCATGTGTGCCCCGCTTCCCTGCCCTCAGCCCCAGCCCAGGAGGGTCCCAGCTTGCTGCCTGCTCTGGAGTTGAGCCTGCACTTCACTGGGTGTTTCTGTCCCAACAGGCGGTCAGGTTCCCCAGCTTCTGATTGTGACCCTCCCCATCCTGAGACTCTACCCGCCAGCCAGCCCTCCCATCCCAAGACAGCGTCTCCCAGGATGAAGAACGAAGACAACTGCCAGACACCAGTCACCCCAGAGTGGGATAGGACAGTGGGCAGTGTGAAGGCACCGGCTGAACCTGCAGGGACTTGCAAGGTGCCTGGACAAGTAGCAAGCTGCCAGGAGCTAGGGGGCTCACTTGGTGTGTTTGCGAACCCCCCAGGGACACCAGTGCCCAGGAGCCCTGCTTGCCTCCTGACCATCTCCAGCTTTACAGACCTCTCTTCTGGCCCAGACCTGGCACTTGGTGGCCACAAGCGGAAGGTTGAGTTCCCCAGTGGCAATGCTGAGAAGAAACCGGGGGCCTCATTTTTTGTCCCAAGAGCCCCCAGCCCCTGTAGCACCAGGACAACCAGTGGTGGGCATCCTCCGTCCCTCTCGCTTCCAGGCCATGAGTCCAGGCCTCTGGCCTCCTTCCTGCCCTTGTGCCACCCACAGACTGGCCTCTCCCTCCCAGACTCTTTCCCCTGGCAGCCCACAGACAGAGCAGCAGAGTTCTGGGCCACATAGCCTCCCTGGCCTGGGGGAGGGTGGCCCCCAGGGCCTGAGGATTCTGAGTGTGCAGCCCCTGGCCCTGTGTCCCAGCAGACTGGTCAGCTCCCCAGCTGCCCTGAGCTCCCGGCCAGCCATCAGCCCACCTGCACTCAGCTGCCAGCACACAGCCCCCAGGGGGCCTACAGAGGGCAAGTCTACCTCTCTCCCCCACCCTCTGCCAGCCAGTGGGGGAGCCAGCTGCTCCCAATGGCTCTGGGCCCCCCAGCCTCTCCAAGTGCCCTGCTTCCCTGTCTCCTAGTCCCAGCCCCAGCCCAATGCAGGCAGAGAGCTGTTCCTGTGAGTCCCCAAGGTACTCAGCTCTTCATGGGGCCAGACAGCTCCAGACTGAAGGGCCACAAATACTAGTTATACCTCTGCTTAGTGCTGCACCTGGCCAGGTCTGACTAGCACACAAAGACAAGCAGAGCCCCAGGATATTCCTAAAGAAGCCAGAAGAAGGCCCGGGCCTGGACTTTGAGTCCAAGTGAGCAGCTGTCACGCTAAGCTCTGTGGAGCGGACAGAGCGAGTCCTCTTGCCCGCCAGATCTTTGCGCAGGACCAAGAGAGTCTGGGTTGGGGCTGTCCTCTCCTTCCCCTACCTCCAGCCATGTTCCTGACCAAGCGGCAGGCTACAAGGGCTTGTCCGGCCATGGCCAGCTGCCCACACCAGAGGAGAGGTTGGCATAGGGAGGCACCACAAGAAGCTAGAGCAGCAGGAGTCCTGGCCCGGCCTCTTGGCCTCGGCAGGCGTTTGCCTCTGCAGAGCTGAGGGCTAGTTGGTGTTCCCCACCCCCAGCCTCCTTCCCCACAAGCATGTGGTCTCTCCTGCTTTCCGAAATGCCTGTGTTTGTATCCCCTCCCCCAGCCCCCCACGCTCCTGCCTCCTGCGTGCAGATTCTCAGGAACATATGAAGCAGAGGAGGGGCTCGGGCTTCGGCACTTACAGAGCTCCCTCCCCCATGCACTTAATTGGGGCCCAGTACTGACCTTCCCCTTGAGCCCAGGATGTGGCCAGAGACCCCTCTAGGGACCCCTCTCAGCTCTTTTCTGCCTCCTCAGCTCAAGCTGCCCACCCAGAGTTTTTTATTCCAGGGCCAGTATCTCACCTGCCAACTTCCACATTGCCCTCTTCCCTCCCCCTTTCCCTTCTCCTTCCCCAAGGACCTCCCCCCATTTCTTGCAGCCAAGCCATTAATCTAGAGACAGAAATGGGTTTGCTATCGATTCTTTGGCCACTTTTTTTTTTTATTATTACAATTTGTACTGTGGTTCTTCTCACCCTTCTATGCCTCTGTGTGTTTGTCTCTTTAAATGTGGAAGCTACCGGAAGCCTGGTGCTGTTCTGTGTCTCCTTTCAGAGGAAGGAAGGGGGGCTTACTGTGGGTGAAGGCCCAAGTTGTTAGTTTGGAAATAGAGCAACTGTGTGTACAACCCTCCTTAGAGGTCAGTCATGTTTGGTCTTTGTATCCCATTCCCGTTATGTTTCACAGTTAATCTTGGTTCAGGAAACATAAATAAACTTGTTAATAACAAATGGCAGAGATGGGGCTGGAGTGCAGTGTGTCGGCCTTTGAGTGCCCTCCAGTGACCCAAAGCAGGGACAAAGGCCCAGCAGATACCAACAGAATAACCACATAACAGGACGGGATGTGTGAGTACCACCACCCTCCAGCTGGCCTCATCTGAGGGGAAAGGGGTGACATCTGTCCCTGCCCAGTCTTGTCTGATCACTGAGCCCTGCTGCCTGGTAAGTGGTCACCTACACAGGGCATGCTCGTCACCATGCCCAAAAAGACTCCTTTGCCCCAGCAGGCATTCCTGCTAGAGGCCCTCGCCCTTTCCCCTGGGCCCTGCTGGGTACATCTTTCCTTTTCTGACGTGGGGTGCCTCTTTCCCCACTGCTTTCTTCATGATGCCACCCCTCTGGGTGAGGAAAAGTTTCCCCTCACCCCTTAGACTTCTCTGACACCTTCACCTGTTGCTCACACAAAGCCATGGCACCAGGTTCTGATGCCCTTGTCACCATCTGCCCAAGACCCATTCCCCCAACCTCACATCAGCTGCCATGGCCTCCCCTGCCATCTCAACGATTGTGACCTTACACATCGCTGCTGAGCCAAAGCCCAAGGCTACAACACTCCTCAGCCATTTCTCCATTGTGGCTTCAGGCTGTAGATTCCAGTTAGCAGGAAACCTAGAACACGGGAGACCTGACCCAGTTGACACAAGGACTGTGCAAAACCTCTTCCATTCCTCCCTCTCTCCAGATGACTTGACCCAGACTCAGTAAGGACTGCCTCATCGTGCCGTCAGTCCCCCTTCAACATCATCTTACTGTTTGTTTCCGTCCTTTGCAAGTCATGCTATCCCTGGGCTCTCCAGGCCACCCTTTTCAATTTTCTTCCCAGACTTACCAGCTTCCTCTGCCCAAAAGCTTGATGTTCCTCCATCCTGGAAAATGCTTGAGTTGATTCAGCAGCTTGGGAAAGGCTCCCTCCTGTCCTCTGGCCACTTCCTGTGGTCTGTACCTGCCTCCATGTCTTCACCCTCTCCCCTTCCAAACTTCCTTCCACAGTGGCTCTGCCTGAAACATTCCACTGGGATTGTCTATTCCAGGGTCATCAGGTAGCCTGCTAATTACCAAAGTCAGGTTCCTCTTCTCCTTTCCTACCTCCTTGGAACCTGGCTCCCTCAATCCCAGCACCTCACATTGGCCTGGTTCTCCTGCCTCCCCTTGTACTTCCTTGGTGTCGCTGGCTCACTCTTGTCCATTCATTCGGCACAGATCTTAAATGTCCACCCTGAATCAGCTCCCTGACTGCTGAGAGTCCACCAGCCCTAACCACCTCCCCCAGACGAGGTCCTGGGACCTTTGTTCTTAGTTCTTCTCAGTGGATCTGTAACTTCTCTGCAGATGTGACCTGAATTGGTAGCTCCACCTGACTCCCTTCTGAATTCTAATCTCCCAGGAGTGATGATGGGGCTCCGCTGGGTGGAAGGCAGGATCTAGCTGCTCCCCTAAGTCACATTGTGACTCTGGGCAAGTCCCCTTACTACTCTGGGCCTCATCTTTAAGTGACGGGCTTGGAGGAGATGATCTCAAAGGCCCTTCCAATAATAAAATACTGTGACCTGCAATGAATCTCATATGCTTCCCCATCGTGCCACCACCCCAAATGCAGCATCTCTGAGAACACCACCTCCATCCAAGACTCCAGTTCCTGGCTCCCGCTTTGTCATTGCGTTCCTCCCGGCATCCTCTAACTCCTGCCTCTCTCACTGTTCCCTGAGCCAAATCCAACCAGTCTGGAGTCCTCCTAGTCCCTCTCCCTCCTGAGCGTCCTCACCCTCACACATCATCTCCTTGGTTCCCTCTGCCACCTCCCTCCACCAAAAATCCCTCAGCCAACCAGACTAACCCACCACAGGCAGTTCCACTTCCTGGTCTTTTCCCTGCCCTGGAAAGCCCCTCAGTGGCAGCAAGAATGTCCCATTCTGCAAGGCAGGTTCCATATTCTTCCTGAACCCTTGAGTATAATCTTTCAGGGCATGAGCTTTAGAGCCACACAGGTTCGGATCCAGGTCCTGCCACTGAACTCTGACTTTTGCCAAACTGAAACTCAGTCTTTGTTTTTGTTTTTTGTCTTTTTTTTTTGAGACAGAGTCTCACTTTGTTGCCCAGGCTAGAGTGAGTGCCATGGTGTCAGCCTAGCTCACAGCAACCTCAAATTCTTGGGCTTAAGCAATCCTTCTGCCTCAGCCTCCCGAGTAGCTGGGACTACAGGCATGTGCCACCATGCCTGGCTAATTTTTTCTTATGTATATATTAGTAGGCCAATTAATTTCTTTCTATTTATAGTAGAGATGGGGTCTCGCTCTTGCTCAGGCTGGTTTCGAACTCCTGACCTCGAGCAATCCGCCCGCGCGCGTCAGCCTCCCAGAGTGCTAGGATTACAGGCATGAGCCACTGCACCTGGCCTGAAACTCAGTTTTTTTAATCTAAAAAAGTGGACATCATAGTAGTTGCCACCTCATTAGGAAGTCACAAGAATTAAATCAGATATGTTTGTGAGGTACTTGGCATAGAGCTTGGCATGGTGTCTCAACAAACTAACATATTACCCACACTCACACACACCTGTGAGGGTTCCCTCCTAGACACTTAAATAGAGCTTATTTTCACTAATCTGCCCTGCGACGTCCCTGTGTGACCCACATCCTCATCTCCAGTGTAAACTTGTGGATGGAGCTGCAAAGGGGCACTGTGAGACACCCTATTACCAGGCCCCCCCTTCCCAAGGGCCGGTTCTCCAGAGACCCCTCTGGTGGGAAGGAAGGAGCAGTTGGGTCCTTGGGGGGTGTGACTGTATTTGTGCCCCACAAGCCTGGGATGCTGGCGCCTCAGGTGACTTCAACTCCACCCTGGTTGAGGCCTGAGAGCTTTAGAGATTAAAGGTGGGGCCACTCAGGACACCTGAGAGGGAGGAGGGTGGGTTTCCCTCTGGATAGGCAGATGCCAAGAGCCTCTGAGAGGAAGCAGGATGGACTTCTCGTCTGAATGCCGGTAGCCTTTCCCCTACTCCCCACTCCTCACCATCGTGTCATCCAGCATGGTCCCTCTCTGCGCTGGGCATAGAGAGGGCCCTGAGGCCCCAAGCCATAAAGGGGCTTTGGGTCCTGGACAAGAGCAGGAGCTGGCTTTCTCCTCAGCACCTTTCACCCTGCGGATCCAGGTGGACCAAGCCCCTTCCATGCACCAGACACCGTCCTGGCTGTGGGCGCTCAGCCACTCATTCACCCCGACACAGCCCTGTGAGGGAGCACTTTCCTAACCCAGTCACAGATGAGGAAACCAAGGCTGAGAGACCAGGGGACTTGCTCAAGGTTTCACAGCCAATAAAGGGGGAAGCCAAGATTGGGACCCCAGCCTAGACCCTGAGTCCTGCCCTCACCCACCTCGCCCTCCTGCCCGCATGACCGGCATGGTCTGTGCCGCAGGCCTCGAGGCTGGGCATGGGGCCTGGCCGGCCTCCACTGGCAGGAATCACTGCCCATCGTGCCGCCCCAGGTCTGCACCCCTCTCTTACCTGCAGCTGCCGAGACACAGTCTTGGCCCTGCCTCAGCCCAGCTTGGCCCTTGCGCAGGAAAATTTGAGGGAAGAATTGGCTGAAGGGTAGGAAGAACTATAGCGGGAAGGAGGCGGCAGCCCATCATGTGGCTTCCCAGGCCTCCTGGTGGTGGGGTCCCAAAGGGAGGGCTGGAGGTGGGGGCCAGAGCCCAACTCCTAAGCAGGCTCACTCAGTGCCTCAGCAAAGGCAACATTGAGACAGCAGAAACTGGGACCACCAGCCTCAAGGGATGGGCAGAAAGAGCAAAGGAGCCAACTGTAGTGTAGCCGTGGAGTCAGGGTCCCCACCCCCTAAAGAACCGTCTGTTTGAGGGGGAGATGTAGGCCTCCCCGATCTGAGAAGAGAACAGTCCTTGCTTTCATGGGACAGGTCTGATGGGGGAGACAGTCCCTATTCTTATGAAGCCCTAGCCTGTTGAGGGGCCACCACTTAGAGGACAAAGACAGCCCCTGACCTCAGGAGGGAAGGCAGGTGAGGGAAACCGAAGCAAGCTTCCTGTTTGGGGAGGCCCCTTGAAGCAGAGCTGAGACAGCACAAGATGCAGGGAGGTGGGACCACAGGTGCTGGGGAGTGGGCATGGTCAAGACAGAGGTGAGGTGTCTGGCCAAGTCTGCTTGGAGCCAGAGCTGAGGAAGATGGGTGTCTGTGGGACTCAAAGAGCCACACGATTGAGCTCCTACTGGAACTGGCGCGGAGTGCCACCAGGGAAGAGTCACTCTGAGGGCCAATCAGGTCTCCCCAACAGGAATTCCAAGGTACCAGGGCCACAGGTGTGGTTGGAAAGTGCCTCAGCTAAAGAGGCCTGGAGCACAGATTGGACTCGCTCTGTGGTCTTGGACTTGTGGAGGGGTCCGAACTACAGCCTCAGGGCCCTTCACTGTGAAATGACAAACCCCACCTAGCCTTTTGGGAGGCTCACCTGGTCAGGACTTACAGGGACCTGGGACATGGTGTGGGGGAGGACAGAATGGAGTCACCCTGGAGTCTGGAGTGCCAAATGGGGTGTGTTGGGGGTGAGGGACCAGATGTACTAGTCCCCTCTGGTCCAAGATAGAGGACAGAAATGGGCTAGGGGTGGCCAGAAGGGAGTAGGGCCCTGGAGTGTGTGGGACATGCCTCTCACTGACCAGCTATGTGGACTTTGGGACGCTCACATAGCTTCTCAGAGCCTCAGTTTCCTCATCTATAAAGTGGGGAGCACAATCTCTCCCTCCGGGGTAATTGTGAGTTCCTAGGAAATACCACATAGTAGGCCCTCATTCCCAGGAGCCTCCTCAGCCTACATCTTGGAGGAGGTTTTCAAGATGTCTTCAGAGTGAGGGAAGAATTGGCTCAGCCGTGCTGAGCATCTGGGTCTGGAGTGGCAGGTGGTTAGTGGGGGGTGGGGGGAGTCACCTCATTCCCAGCATTGATGTCAGCGCCTCCTGGGAAATCGCCTTCTCACCTCTCCTGGGCCTAAAATAGAGCTGCAGGGGGTGCTGTCACAAGCCAGAGGCAGCTCCCTCATCCCCAGCAGAGGCCCTGCATCCCTGGGGGTGCAGAGGACCCAGGAAGGGGTTCCCTGCCTCCAGCCTTGGTCTTCAGTGACCTGTGGTCCCCCAGTGTGGGTACAAAGGTCATGGTGGGGCCTCACCTGCATCCTACCACGCCCCACCGCATCTTCTCACGTATCTGGCTCTTGGCGGCCCTAGCAGAAGTCTGAGATCCCAGCCCCTGGCATTGGACCCATCTTGCCCAGGAGCCCAGGAGCTGGGTTGAGGGCACAGCTGGGGAGGTAGGTTGGGAGGTGAAATATTTCGCAGACAAGGTATCCTAGGTCTGATCAGAGAGAGGAGGCTGGGGGGCTCCAGAGGTGTCTTCTGCTCTCAAAGATTTGGATTGGCAAGGAGGGGGCAGAAATGTGGCATGCTGACGGCATGTAAATGACCTAAGTTAATATTTAATTTTGGGCAAGGATTGGGGTGCCCCATGTGAAAGACTCAGAAGCCCAGAGGGAGAGGCCAACCCCTCCTGGTGGTTGGGATGACAGCAATCCCTGAAGCCCTCCTGGAGGCTGGGACCCCTGTAGGATGGGACGGGGTGTGGGGGAACTCTGCAGTGATAAGATCCGCTGCGAATGGGGAAGAAATCCCCGAGGCGAGGAGCGGAGCGTTGGGCAAGAGCCACTGGCCCTGCCTTCCCAGCTCGGGCAGCCTTGGGTCACCCGCGCTCCGGCTTGGGCTGGGACAGGCCCCTCTTGGTTACAGTGCCCAGCAGCCACGCCCCCGCCTCAGGTCCGCAGATGGGCAGTCGGCAGGTCAGAGTCCGGGGTCCCTCTGCACCCTGCCCCCCAAGAAATCTAGGGGTCCTCAGAGATCCTCAAGCAAGGAGTGGCCAAGGAGGGGCCATGAGATGGAGACGTGGTGCGCCCCCGCCCTGCACCTGCCGAGGCGCCCGAGGGGGTGCCAGGCAAGGGGGCCCCAGGCGGCACCTCTTTTGTCCTCGCAACGCGGCGGCCCGGGCCGGGCCGCCTTGGGGGGCGCGGGGGGGTGGGGGGCGGGCCCTCGGCTCACGTGTTCGCCGCGCCGCTCTTAACCCGGCCCCGCCGCCCCGCCGGGATGGCCGCGGCCCAAGCGCGCTGAGCCCGGCGCCCTGCCCCACCCCTCCGCGACCCGCCGGCCCGGCCCGCCGGTCCGCAGCCGGCGCCTCCCGCCCGTCCCCGCTCCCGCCCTCCGCCGCGCCGCTCGCAGCCGCAGCCCCCGGACCGGGAGGATATGAGCGAGCCATGAGGCTGCTGCGGCGCTGGGCGTTCGCGGCTCTGCCGCTGCTGCTGCCGCTGCTCCCCCCGCCCGGTGAGTGACCCCCGCCCGGCCCGGCCCGTGTCCCGGCGCCCCCTCCCTGCCCCCGCCCCAGTTTTGCGGCGGTTTCTGCTGCAGCCACATTTTCCTGCAGTGCTCCAGGTGACAGCCGGTCCAGAGCGCGGGAGGGTGGGGGTGCGGGAGAGGAGGGAGGGAAGGTGCGTCCACCCACCTGTCCCCTTCTGGCTGGCCCCACCGCGTCCATCCCCCTGCCGCCTGCCGGCCGACTCTGCAGGTCTCTGCGGGTTTGGGGGGGGCAGTCGTGACGGCTGGGCAGGAGCGAAGCTCCTGGCCCCCTCCCCGTGGGGCGCTTCCCCATGCAGGGCAGCCAGATCTTACCTCCCAGATAACCCCAGGGCTCCGGGGACACCAGAGTGGGGGACGCAGTGTGCCCACCCGTTTCCCGTCTCCTGCCTCATGGTGGGCATCTGCCTGCAACTATGGCCTTGTCTCCCCAGGTGTTGGGGCCCGGGGTCCTGTCGGAGCTCTGCGATGGGGAGGCTCACCCCAGGCGGAGGGTCCAGAAGCCCCCGAGGTCACAGAACCCAGCCGTCTGGTGAGGGAGAGCTCCGGGGGAGAGGTCCGAAAGCAGCAGCTGGACACCAGGGTCCGCCAGGAGCCACCAGGGGGCCTGGTGAGTGGGGTTGGGTAGTGAGCCCAGGGGGCTGCAGCAGGCACAGGGGAGACCCCAAGGTAGGCAGGGTTGGGCACCCCCTCCGCAGCTGGCACTGGTGGTGAAGCAGCTTCCCCATCTGTACAATGGGCTATCAGGTGGGTGCTGAGCCCGCTAGCAGGGAGCACCAGGCCTGCCCCAGCTCCAGGGCCCCCTCTCATCATGGTGGGATCCCCTGCCCTCAGCATTCAGGAACCCCAGAATGCCCAGGTCTCAGTGCAGCTTTGGGTCAGCCTTCCGCCAGCCCCGTCCCCCCTCCTGCCAAAGCTAGTGGTTCTGCTCAAAATGGGGCTTGGGCAGGGCAGTGGGGGCAGGGAGAATCAGCAAAGAGCCCAGTCTGGGATCAGGGCTCCCAAGTTCTCACTGTAGCCACCCTCAGCGTGCTTTCTTGGAACAGCTTAGTGCTTGCTCCTGCCTCAGTTTCTCCCAGTACACAGACAGGCTTGTTGTTCTCCTTCCTGTCCTGGCTGAAGATGGGGCCTTGGAAAATGGTGTAAGGTCCTAAGCTCACCCACAAATGCCAGCTCTACCTGCCCACTATCCCTTTCAGCTGCCAGACCCTTCCTGCCTCCCAGAGGAAGGTTAGGAATGAAGGAGATTAATTGCAATTAATAATTAATTAATATCATGTGAATAATAATCACCCAGATGGAATAGTCACTCAGCACGCCTGGGCTGTCCAGGAGCTTGCAGCCGAAAGTTAGCCGGCCGGCAGGGCAGCAGAGGGCTGCATGGACAAGGCCTGGCAGAAATAGGAGGTGTAGAGGAGAGGCTCAGAGGGGGGGTACAATCCAGGTCTGGGAAGTTTTGGCAGCTGGGAGTGGTGGGAGGTGGATTGGGCTGGGCAGAGGGAGGAAGGAGGGAACCGGAGGCTGCCATTATGGACATCTGTCAGACTGGCATCTGGCCCTGCCTAATGCACTTGGTTAAAAGCCCTTAAGGGGGGTGGTGGAGGGGGATGTGGGGTGGTGCAGGGGTGGGGAATACTCGTGAAATGGAATGGAGCAGGAAGGCAGCATGCATAATAGATGGACCAGCGCTCAGGGCAGCGCCCGAGCAAGCGGGAGGGGGCGGGAGGGGAGGGGGCTGATGGTCCTGGGCTGGCGGGCAGTGGGGGGGGATGGGGCTAGGTTGGCTTCAGTGCCTGCCCTGGCTCCCTGGGAGGGGCTGGGGGGGCAATGGGGTGGTCCCAGGGCCAGGGATGGGGTGCCCCGGCTGCTCAGTCTGGCTGTCTCCCATGGTGTCACTCCCCACCTGTGATCTGTGCACCCCGAGGTTGCGCTGAGGGGGAGTTGATGACCCACCTGTCTGCCGGGCCTCTGGCGTGTGCTTTAGGGGATGTGCACACTCAGGGATGGAGTGATGCCACCTTGGGGTCGGGAGTCAGAGATGAGGGGAAGCATGGGGGCCGGGAGGGATAAAAAGCGGGGTACTCCCGTGGGGCAGGTTGCTCCTTCAGCCCAGCCATTTCTGAAGAGAGCTGCACAGGCTCTGGGGAAAGATCCGGATGGGAGCAGTTGAACTGGAAGGATCGGGGGACTCTTTGGGTGTTCTGCTGGGTGAGTGGGTGGTGCGTATGCATGTGTGCTGTGGGTGCGAGTGACTGAGTCCGAATAGACCTAAGGAGGTGTCTGAGGGTCTGGAGTGGGAGTGGAGAGTTCTTTGGATCTGTGGGGCATTGGTTACCTCTAGCAGGAGTCTGAGACTTCCCAAGGACCTCACTGCAGCCTCCCCAGGGGACTTGCTCAGAGCCCTGCCTTAGTTGTGCCTCAGTTTCCCCCAAGGTGAGGGGTCTGCCCTGGTGGTGAAGTAGAGGGCTGCCATGGCTGTGGACTTCTCTGGGCCAGGCACTGTGCTAAGCTCTGTATGCACATTACATCACTTAATTCTCACACCTCTCCAAGACCTGTAACTTCTGTCTGCCCCATTTTGCAGATGAGCAAACTAAGGCTCAGAGAGGTTAAGTAACTTTCCTGAAATCAAGCAGATCTTAAGCAGCTCCAAGACCACAGCACTTCCCACTATACTGTTCTGCCTCCAGGACTCTCTGGATTTGGGTCCAGGGGCACTCCCTCAACTCAGGCCAAAGGACACAAAAAGACAAAAATGTCCAGACTATTTTCCCCTAACCGGATGGAGACATGGCAAATCCTCAACCTCCCACTTGGGTTTTCTTCTCTGGGTTCGAGCACTTCTGGCCACAGAACCTCAGAGCTGATGGTGGAGCCAGTGCAGCCTCAAGCCCATATCCCAACAGAAGCACCCCAGCTGGGCACTGCTTGGGTTTTGTCCTAAAGTTATTGCAGGTTTGGAACTTCAGGCCCAACAGGAGTTGAGCCAGCATCTGGTCATGTGGCAAGTCCAGGGCACCTGCTGCTGGCAGGGCCAGGGTGGTGGGGCCTCGGGTACTGAACTTCTGCGGCTTTGGGCCGGTCACTTCGCCCTTTCTGATCCTTAAAGTCAGGATGCTGATAACCTTGCCATGGGGAGGTGGCAGACATGAAAGGGCTTTGCATGCTGAGGACCCTGGCTTGGTGTGGGGCTGGGGAGGCTAGGACAGGTGAGACCAAAGGTGGCCAGGAAGGAATTAGAAGAGAAAGTACAATTTACTGGGCCCTGGCTGAGGCAGGCACACTTCTGCCTTTATATGTGTTGATTTATTTAATCTTCATCTCAACTCCAGGAGCTGGGGCCGTTATTCCCATTTCACAGGTGGGGAGACAGGCACAGAGAGGTGAAGTAACTACCCCAGGTGACACAGCACTCCCATAGCAGAGGCCAGATTGGTACCCAGAGCAGGACCCTTGGCCAGCGCACTGCTCACCTCTTGCCCAGGGGTGTAGCAGAGGAACACAGGGGACCCTTTGCCCTCTCTCTGCCACTGCTCTCAGCACCTCACATCTGACTAGTCTGGAAGCAGGTCGGGCTTGAGGCCCAGAGCAGTATGGGAACTTCTGGAAGTGCAGAGACCTGTGGTCACAGGGAGCCTGCAGCCGAGGGGTGAGGCAGGAGGACAGGCAGGGCCGCGGTGGACAGCTGGGCTGGTTGTCCACTGCACTAGGGCACCGGGGCGAGGGCTGAGTGAGCTGAATGGAAGCCACGGCTCACACGGCAGCACGTGTTCTGCGAGGACATCTTTTCCTAAGTCACACCAAGCTGCTGTGTGGGCTGTGCCAGCCCCTGGGGAGGCCCAGACTCCTTGGGAACCAAGGAGAGGGCAGGATGGGGGCAAGTGAGCAGGGCTGGGGGTGAGAGGGGCCCAGGGGCCCAGAGACAGACGCTCATCTGAACTGGCTGGGGGAGGGCAGCCCGTCACTGGGCCCAGCTCTTGTGAGAGCTGTGTAGACCAGTTGGAAAGGCCACTGGGAGGCCCCCAGCAGAGGCTGTGTGCTGCAGTCCTGTTTGGGAGGGTGGGGGCCAAGTGAGTAAGGCTCAGCCCCCAGCCCTTGCAAGATGGCAGTCATGGGCAGGGAGCCACAGTGGTACTAGGGGCCATGCCTGGGGCCCTGTACCCCGCTAGAGCCAAGGCCACTCTGTGGTCTGTGTGGCCAAAGTTGCAGCTCTGATTGGAGACAGGAGGGGTTCCTCAGAGGGGGCTGGTTGCTGGAAGCCAAGGCTAGGATTGTGCCGGACCCCGCCTGTTCCCAGGGACATGGGGCTTGTGCTACGAGCCCTGCCGCCGTGAGGGCGAGTTCATGAGGCTAAACTTCAGTGTGAGAAGCCGTGCTCTGTGGCTTTGGGGTGGGACAGCCTCAGTGCAGGTCCTGTTCCACTGCTTCTGACTGCGTGACCTGAGCAAGCCACTGCAGCCTCCTGAACCCCACCCTCCTCATTCATGAAGTAGGAGCAATAATAGTCGCCACTGCCCGGGCTGCTGCGGGGACGTGAGGGGTGGCTGAATGTCAGGCGGCCAGCCTGGGATCAGGCCAGGGCATCCCCAAGGCCGCGGTGCCGCATGGGGGCTGTGTGCCACAAGCAGGAGCCGGGGCACTGGGGGTTACCTGTCGGGCTCAGGGAGGGGTTCAGGAAGAACGACCTGGGCAGACCTGCCATCTCCAGTCCTCAGCCAGACTGGCCTGGGGCTTTGGCCTCACCCGAGCACCCTCCTGGCTGCCTAGAGGAACCCAGCTGTCCAGAGTCTGTCCCCAGAGGGACTGATGACCCTGTAAGGAGGTGACTCTGTCCTCAAAAATTTAGGTCAAATCCCATCATCAGAAATTGGTCCAACTCTTCCCATTGTCTGGGAATCCCGCTGCCCTGTTGATAACTGGAGTGCACACGAGCAGTGCTGGGGCAGGGGGGTGGGGGGGGTGGGAGTCAGCAGGTGTGGGGGTTTCTCCTGGCCAGGCCGTGCTCCCAGGTGGGGCCCCGGCCTCCCTGGTGCCTCCCCCCACTCTGTAGCTGCCCACGAGAAGGTGGTGGTGGTGTCTCTGTGCACAGCGGGTGGGAGGGGATTTTAGAAAGATGTCCTCAGGTGAGACAACTCATAGGCAAATCACCCCAATCCACCCGGATATGGAGCATAAATGCCACTGTTCTGGCAAGTCTCTGTCACAGAGGGTGATCCAAGGGGATCTTTTTCCAGTTCCTCTAAGCCCTGTTTTGCCAGAACATGTACACTTACTTCTTCGTTTATTATTATCATTGCTGACCCTCATGATAATAACACATTGCAAAGGGCTTTTAGGCCAGGCACGGTGGCTCACACCTGTAATCCTAGCACTCTGGAAGGCCCAGCTGGGAGGATCATTTGAGGTCAGGAATTGGAGACCAGCCTGAGCAAGAGCGAGATCCTGTCTCTACTATAAATAGAAAAAAAATAATTGGCCAACTAAAAATACATAGAAAAAATTAGCCGGGCATGGTGGCGCATGCCTGTAATCCCAGCTACCAGGGAGGCTGAGGCAGGAGGATTGCTTGAGCCCAGGAGTTGGAGGTTGCTGTGAGCTAGGCTGATGCCACGGCACTCACTCTAGCCTGGGCAACAGAGTGAGACTCTGTCTCAAAAAAAAAAGACATACGTGTCAAGACCTGTGTGCTCTAGGCCCAGTGGTGGAGAGGGGCCAAAGGCCTATGCAGGTCGGCAGGTGTGGGTTCACAGACGAGGCTCGAGGGAGGAGAGAGCCGTCGGGGTGCAGAGGTTCAGGCTCAGGGTTTGAGGGGTGATGCCCAGAGGCTGTGGGGAGCAGTGCTCTGCACGCTCGAATTTTCTGGGCCACTTGGGAATCCTAAAGATCTTAGTCTTCCCTTTGCCAAGACTGTCACTGCAGGTCCAGGGCAGAACCTGGGCATCTGTATTTGTGATTCTGGGACTTCGGCAGAATCTTTGCCTCCTCCTGTCTGCACCCCGTGTCTGGTTGGGCCTGACCTGGGGTTCCCAGAGGATGAGGCATGGTCTTTCTGAACCGGGTGCCTGGGAGGGTGGGCGAGCCAGCCTCAGGGGAACCTCCGGTGGAGGGTGTGGTCACCTCTGGGGCGGGGGGCGCAACTTCCATGGCAATGTGAACTCCAGCCTGAGGATGAGACTCTGGCCACACCTCCCCAGCATCCAGCCGTGACCCTGGGCCAGTGGCCTCCAGGTGTCTCTCCCTGAGCTTTGGCCTGGCATTTGTAAGAGGACCAGACTGCCTGGGCTGGCTGAGATCAAATGAGCTGGAGCACGTGAGCCCTGGGGCCAGGGAAGTGAGAGGCCAGTGCAGGGCACAGGGTCAGCTGGAGGACTGGCGGGACAGAGGAATAATGGGATGAGGGCAGGGCAGGGCCAGGCAAGGAGAGCGGCTGGGCTTTGACAGAACATTGGCCTGAAGCTTGGCGGGGGCGCTGGGGACTCTGTGCCAGCAGGTGCCTCCCCAGGCGCCTGGGATGCGGAAGTCCTGGCTCTGAGATGGCTTTGCCTGACCTCTCCTCCCTCAGAAGGGCAGGGCTGTGTCTCCCCCGTCAGGCCAGGCTTCTTTCTCTTTCCCCCGACCCTCTAGGGGCTCTGCTGCACCCCCCAGGCCTGCCTCCTGTGGGGCCCAGTCCCCCACTCTCCAGCCGCCCTTGTACCACCCCAGGGCCTTGACTGGCCTGAGCCCTGAGTCCTGCTGGGAAGGAGGCTAGTGAGGGCTCGGTGGGCTGTAAAGAGCATCCTGGGGCATGTGACACTGCCCCCATCAGTCTAGGCTTTTCCCAGAGTGGGGGAGGAGGCCTGATGGGTGGCCTGCCGACGTCCCGAGTGTGGAGATTCTGTTGGTGCCAGCGCAGGCGCCCAGAATCCTCCAGGCCCAGGACGAGTGCTCACCACACAGCCAACCTCCCAGCCTCGCACCTGGGCTCATCTTACGGTTTTCAGTGGGAAAATCTAGGGCTCAGAGAGGTTGCTGGGTCGCCCCTGAGGCTGCAGGGAGAGAGGTGAACCAGGGCCAGGGGTCCGGGCAGCCAGCGTGGGGGCTGGGACTGGGGCTTGTCGGTGGGGGTGGACGGAACAGGCAGGGGGGGCAGGGACGGTCCAGGTGTGGGGGCCGGAGGTGGAGATAGAGCTGTCCTGGCCCAGCGTGGGGGGAGAGAGCAGAGATGGTCTAGGCCAAGGGGTGGGGAGAAGAAAGCAGTGACGCCTTGCCCTTGACTTTCTATTTCGAGTCTGATCGATGCTGTAGGGGCTCAGGATGGAGCCGGGAGCCTTGGTCCCAGGATGGGGTGAGTCAGTGTCCTTGGGGCTCAGAGGCCTGCCTGCCTGGGCACTGGCCCTTCGCCCCATCGTGTCCGGCTCTCGGGGCCTCGCGTGGATGCTGGGCCCACTTCCATCTTGCCTCACCTCTGGGGTGAGAACCCCCTGGAAGCAGGTTCCCTAGTTTGAATCCCAGCTCCACCACTTTTTAGCTGTGTGAACTTGGGCGAGTTAATTAGCCTTCCCTGTGCCTTAGTTTCCCCATCGGTCAGGCGGGAATAACAGTAGCAGGTCTCCCATAGGCTTGTTGTGAAGATCCACTATGATAACACTGGCACGGCGTTTAGCCCAGTGCCTGGCGCGTAGGAAGCGCTTGGTAAAGATTAGTAAGGACTAGGGGGTGAATTAGGAGCCCTCAGCAGCAGGCTGTGGGATTCCATGACATGGCCACCGGAGCTCCCTTCCTTCCTGCAACTTGCCCTATACCCACAAAAGCAAGACAGTGAACAAAAGTCTCCTGTCTGCAGGGCAGAGTGGGGTGACCCTCATCCGGGTGTCTGGAGGTCAGTCTTCTTATATGAACGAGGGCAGGGGCAAGAAGGCGCCAGCCCTGCATTCTCTCAGCCCTTCCCGAGCCTCTGGATCTTTTGGAAGGCCTGAGGCCGGGATGGGATGAGGGAGCCTCCAGGTGTGGCCCTAGGGCTGTTGTGACTCAGGTACTCTCAGCTCTTAAGTCTTGTCCCCCGCAAGAGTGCCAGGTTGGAAGGGCAGCCATCCTGCTCAGGCCTGGTACGTTGCCATGGTGACCTGGAGCCTCCCAGCCCCACTGCACAGGCCCCTCTGAAAAATTTATCAGGAAAACTTCCGTGTTTAAAAATTAACCATGGAATTGAAATATTAAAGATGAGCTGCTTTGGGCAAGGCAGAGGGTGATGGATTTGGGGGTAGAGGAGCCAAGCCCTTTGCTCCTGACCGATGGCAGCTACCCATTGCCCCAGCTTCCGGTGACCCAGCCCCACCTGCACGGGGTGAGGCCTCCTGTGTCAGCTGAGGCTGGGCCCAGGGTAGGGGGCTGGGAAGCGAGGGGCCTGCTTCCCCTCTCCTGTTTGCCACCCCTCCACGGACCCTTGTCCCCTTCCCATGACACTTCTGGGCCTCCCTTTATCCCGCCTGAGGGTGGCTGGCCATGATGTGGCAGGGGCAGGCTGAGCTGCCTCTCCACCCCCACTGCTCCAGAGGGCAGGGGTGGGCCAGGCCAGGGGATGAGCCTCCCGCCCCTGCTGCCCAGTGAAGAAGCAGGGTCTAGAGGAAGAGGGGCTTGTGCAAAGACTCTCGCCCCCAACTCAGTGGTCTCCTGAAATGCTGGGGCTAGGTCATTCCCTCCCTGGGCCACTCTCTGTCCTGGGGTTTCCCCAACTCCCACCTTAAGGCGTCCCCAGATTGACTCTCCCTCTGCCTTCCCCCACGACAGCCCGTCCACCTGGCCCAGGTGAGCTTCGTCATCCCAGCCTTCAACTCAGACTTCACCCTGGACCTGGAGCTGAACCAGTGAGTGTGGCCTTGAGCCTGGGAAGAGGGCAGCAGGTGGGGTGGGCAGAGCATGGCCTGGACTCGGCTGGGGGGGAGGAGGACAGGGAGGGGGCCGTGGCAGGGGCACCTGGATCCTGAGCTTGGGGGAGACCCAAACCTGCCCTAGCCTCCTAGTGACCCCCTCCTTCCTCCTGCCCACTCCGTCTCAGTCACCTGCTTTCCTCGCAATACGTGGAGCGTCACTTCAGCCGGGAGGGGCCAACCCAGCACAGCACTGTGAGTGCCTTTGGAAGGGGACAGGGGAGGTGGGGTGGAGGTTCTGTTTCTGAGGTCAATGATGTAGGCGCAGGTGATGGTGGAGATGGGATCAGGGGTCTCTACTCAGCATGGGCCTGGCCCCTCGGGACCTCCCATCTGTCCCCTCCCGGGAGGCTACGAGGATCGGCAGTGGCAGGTTGAATGGCAAGGGGGCTCAGGGCCCCAGAGGTCTCATTCCCAGCCAGCCACCCTGCCTTGCATGGGGCATACAAGGACCCTCATTGTTCCATGCCCGCTATATCAGAACCCCCACCCCCACCACCGCAAAGACTCTTCTGGGAGGCGGCAGTTGAGGAAATGCACTCTCTTGCTCAGAACAAGACTCCGGGAATTCCCGGCTGCCTGGGACACCAGGGTCCCAGCCCTGCAGGCTGGAGACTGAACAAAGATGAATGAGTGTCTATAAATAGCCGCCCCCCAGCCTGTTCAGTAACTGGAGCACAAGTAATTCTGCAGGAAGCAGAGTTGGGGGAGGAGGGTGCTGCTGGTCCCCTCTGACCCATGAGCCCAGCCAGGAGGACACAAGCTGCTCAGACTCCTCCACCATGAGCATGTGTGCAGGGGTGTCCAGGAAGCAGTGTGGAGATGGTGTGTGTGTGTGTGTGTGTGTGTGTGTGTGTGTGGAGTGAGTCCATAGCGGTCACCCCGTTAGATGAGATAGTATGTGGTAAGTGCTCAGAGCAGTGCCTGGCACATAGTAGGTATTAAATAAATGTTAGGCCGGGCATGGTGGCTCACGCCTGTAATCCTAGCACTTTGGGAGGCCGAGGCGGGCGGATTGCTCAAGGTCAGGAGTTCGAAACCAGCCTGAGCGAGACCCCGTCTCTACCAAAAATAGAAATAAATTAATTGACCAACTAAAAATATATATACAAAAAATTAGCCAGGCATGGTGGCGCATGCCTGTAGTCCCAGCTACTCGGGAGGCTGAGGCAGGAGGATTGCTTCGTTGCTGTGAGCCATTCTGACGCCACGGCACTCACTCTAGCCTGGGCAACAAAGTGAGACTCTGTCTCAAAAAAAAAAAATAAATAAATAAATGTTAACTGCTATTCTCCAAGGAGCCTATGATCTTTTCACCAGCCCAAGCAAGTGGCTAAGAACCACTGCTGTAGTCCAATGTCCTCAATTTATAGGTGAGGTAAAGGAGGCCCAGAGAGGGCTAGGAACTTGCCCAGGGTGACACAGCAAATTAGGAGCACCACCAGTGTAGAAACAGGCTCCAGACCCCAGGTGTACGCAGGGACTGTGGCCATCTGCCCACAGGGTAGCTTGGAAACTCCTGCAAAGCTTTTTTTTGAGACAGAGTCTCACTTTGTTGCCCAGGCTAGAGTGAGTGCTGTGGCTGACGCCTCAGACTCCTGGGCTCAGGCGATCCTTCTGCCTCAGCCTCCTAGGTAGCTGGGACTACAGGCATGCGCCACCATGCCCAGCTAATTTTTTCTATATATATTAGATGGCCAATTAATTTCTTTCTACTTATAGTAGAGACGGGGTCTCGCTCTTGCTCAGGCTGGTTTCGAACTCCTGACCTTGAGCAATCCGCCCACCTCAGCCTCCCAGAGTGCTAGGATTACAGGCGTGAGCCACCGCACCCGGCCTTCTGCAAAGCTTTGAGGCCCGTTGCCATCTTCCTGCCTCGAGCCACTCGGGGGCTTGTCCTGCTCACTGGTCACTGCTCTCTCCTGCAGGGGGCGGGAGACCACTGCTACTACCAGGGCAAGCTGCGGGGGAACCCACACTCCTTTGCCGCCCTCTCCACCTGCCAGGGGCTGCAGTGAGTATGGGAGGGCTGGGCAGCAGGAACAAGACCCCTGCCTGGGCCTGGGGACAGTAGGGAGCTGTGCCTCTCTCTCCACAGTGGGGTCTTCTCTGATGGGAACTTGACTTATATCGTGGAGCCCCAAGAGATGGCTGGGCCTTGGGGAGTGCCCCAGGTGAGCCCTGCACAGCCTCTGGCTGCCCTTCTGATGGCCCTGCCATGCTTGTCCCAACAGCTGTTGCTGCCACCTCCTCCTCCTCCTCCCTCAGTAACCCCAGCCTCATTGCCCTCCTCAGTGACCCCAGCTCTGGTTCCCTCCCCTGTGCCCCCAGCTCCAATGTCCCCTCTGTCCCCCAAGTGACCTCCCATTGGGCTCCAATGTCCTTTGCCCCTGTCTCTCAGGGCACCCCCAGGTCTTGACCCCGGAATCTGAGCATCTGGGAGATCAGATCCGACATGGGAGCTCCGGCCAGTTCTGGGTCACCCCAGGGTGGGGTGGGAGTAAGGGCTGAAGCTGTCCCCCTCAACTGGGCCCAGAGGAGACCTCGTTGGCCCCCCAAGAACTAATTCCCCCTCATTGCAGGGACCCCTTCCCCACCTCATTTACCGGACCCCTCTCCTCCCAGCCCCCCTCGGATGCAGGGAACCAGGTAAGGGAGGGAAAGGGGGCTGGGGGGGGTCCAGCTGTGCCCTCCTCACCTATCCCCTCCCCACAGGCTGCCTCTCTGCTGCCCCTGCCCAGTCCGCTTCTCCAGATCGGCCAAGGCTGAGAAGGAAAAGGCAGGTACGGGGGCCCGCACAGACCTCGGGCTGCGCAGACCTTAGGTCATGTCCAGAGCAGGACGACACCCCCATCTGTGGCTGGGCAAAGGAGGGCTCAGACTGTTGTGTCTGGGGGCCACCTCTAGGAAGAGCCCCCCACCCCCTTTCCTAACACTGGCATCTACACAGGTCCCCATGGGGGGCAAACCGAGGCTGCCTGCTCTCATCCAAAGCTAGGGGGCAAGGGGACCCTCTGCCAGTGGGGGGCTGGCACTGCCTCTGGCTGGAGCTGAGGCCCCCCCACCCTCTCACGGAGTCTGTCCCTAGCTTAGCCATGAGAGCAGACATGAAGGGGACTGATTCCAAGTGCCCACCCACCCCCAGGTCCGCCGGGGCCACCCTACGGTGCACAGTGAGACCAAGTACGTGGAGCTGATTGTGATCAATGACCACCAGCTGGTGAGTTCCCAGGCTGAGGGGACACTGGGAGGAGAGGCCCAGAAGGGTCATCCTCCTCCTCCCACTTTTCTCGCTCCCAGTTCGAGCAGATGCGACAGTCGGTGGTCCTCACCAGCAACTTCGCCAAGTCCGTGGTGAACCTGGCTGATGTGGTGAGCCGCCCTCTCTCCCTTCCCTCTCCCTTGTCCCCCCAGCCTGCCACACACATCCCGAGGGGCACTGTCAGCCTCTTGCCCCTACTTCCTGGAGGGACAGACCAAGACCCTCCTCCAGCCTGTCCCCCCACACCTACTCCCACCCTCCAGTCCCCTTATCTCTCTGCTCTGGGCCCAGATGTATAAGGAGCAGCTCAACACTCGCATCGTGCTGGTTGCCATGGAAACCTGGGCAGATGGGGACAAGATCCAGGTGCAGGATGACCTCTTGGAGACCCTGGCCCGGCTCATGGTCTACCGGCGGGAGGGTCTGCCTGAGCCCAGCGATGCCACCCACCTCTTCTCGTAAGTCCCCCACTCCACCACGCACCTGCCAGCCTTCACTGGTTGCCGCAGTGCCTAGGGTGACTTAGCCCTGCCCTGTGCCGGGTGCTCTTTTCAGAGTCTGGGGACTGGGCTCACCCTGCACTTGCCAGCTGCTTCCAGCCACATGCAACAGGCTGGGCACGTCCCCCACATCTTAGGCTGATGCCCTTTACATTGGCCCTGGTGGTCCTCTTCTGCCCCTCACCTCCTCTTAGTCCCCTCTTTCCCCTTTCAAACTGTCCCAACACCCTTTCCTCGGGGACCCAGTGCCCTGGTGGGGGAAAAATTTGAATAAAGGGGCCTTGTGACTAGAGCTCATCTCACAGGAACCTCTCCTTTGGCTTATGGGCAAACGAACCCAAAGAGGGAGGGGCTTACCGAGGTCACCCAGGCTGATGTGAAGTTACCTCCCCAAGGGAGGACTGTATGTCGGGGAGGGCCGGAGGTTATCCTGACAGCCCTCTCCCTTCCAGGGGCAGGACTTTCCAGAGCACCAGCAGTGGCGCAGCCTACGTGGGGGGCATCTGCTCGCTATCCCGGGGCGGGGGTGTGAACGAGGTGAGCAGTGAGGGGACGTGGGGAGAAGGCCTGGGAAGGCACAAAGTGCCTGTTGGAAGGATGTGGACGTCCTTGTGCTCCATCTTCCTCACCCCCAGTATGGCAACATGGGGGCCATGGCAGTGACCCTGGCCCAGACCCTGGGGCAGAACCTGGGCATGATGTGGAACAAACACCGGAGCTCGGCAGGTATTGACCCTCGGGGACCGGCTTGGGGCCCCACACCCAGTGTCTCTGGAATGAACAGGGTGGAAGCGGGGGCAGTGGTCCTTGGCCCTCCCTCATATCCACCTGGCTCGCCTCTCAGGGGACTGCAAGTGTCCAGACATCTGGCTGGGTTGCATCATGGAGGACACTGGGTGAGTTCTTGGGGACAAACTGGGGGAAGGGTTTTGGGCGAGGGGAGTCCTGGAGCAAGCACTGATGGCTGTCTGGACCCACGGCTCAAGAGGCCCCCCTCACAGACCACTCAGGATTCCAAGAATCCCAATTTTCTGCCTACACTACTCAGGGAGACCCAGATTCCCCTGCAGGGACACAAAACTGGCCAGACTGTAGTGCGCACTGTCGCCACTGGGCGCCGCCCAAGCCTCGTTCGGAGGCACCTTCCCGCCTGCCTGCGCCAGCACGCCCGGAGTCCCGAGGTTCGAGGAGGAGACGCGAGCGCCCTCCTCTGCCCACTCCTCGACGGGCAGGCCGGAGGATTCTCGTGTAGTCCCGGGGCAGATAGAATAGACCCTCAGCCTTCTCGCGGGGGTGACCGAGTACCCGGTGCGCCCCCTCCCCAATCTTGAGAAGGGGCGAGAGGGTGGGCTGGAGGCGAGGACCCAGCGGCACTGTCCCCTCACCCCTGCCTAGGTTCTACCTGCCCCGCAAGTTCTCGCGCTGCAGCATCGACGAGTACAACCAGTTTCTGCAGGAGGGCGGCGGGAGCTGCCTCTTCAACAAGCCCCTCAAGGTACCAGCCCCGGGGCGGGGAACGCGGGAGCGGGGCTTGGGCCGGGTCCCGGCCAGACTCCCGACACGCCCTCCCGGTCCAGCTCCTGGACCCCCCTGAGTGCGGGAACGGCTTCGTGGAGGCAGGGGAGGAGTGCGACTGCGGCTCGGTGCAGGTGAGCTGCTAGCGCGGGCGCCAGGTGGGACCGGGCACGCGGGATGGGGACCAGGGAGAAGCGGGGAGGATGAGGGCGCGCCCGCCTCTCCCCCTTCTCCCGCATCCCCCAGGAGTGCAGCCGCGCGGGTGGCAACTGCTGCAAGAAATGCACCCTGACTCACGACGCCATGTGCAGCGACGGGCTCTGCTGTCGCCGCTGCAAGGTGAGGAGGACCCGCCCGGGGACGGGGAGGAGGCGGGGCCAGGACCAAGGAGCGCCGATTGGACGCCGTCAGATAAGGGGCGGGAGTCAGGAGGATGAACCCTGGGCGAGGCAATCTGGGGCGGGGCCTTGCGGAAAGAAAGGGCCAATGAGGCGTGAGGGGCGGGGCTGAGGCGCACGTGGGGATGTTGGGGGCGGGGCTGGGGTCGGGCGGGCAGCCTGCTGAGAAAGGATTGGAGGGGCGGAAACGTGAGCGGGCCTGGAGCGGGGAGCGGGCCAGGGGTGGTGGGGGCCTAGGGACGGATCCCGGGGGAGGGCGGGGTCCCGGGGGAGCGCGGAGCCGATGCATCTATCCTACCTAAACTAGAGAACGCATCCCTTCCCTAGTACGAGCCGAGGGGTGTGTCCTGCCGAGAGGCCGTGAACGAGTGCGACATCGCAGAGACCTGCACGGGGGACTCGAGCCAGGTCCGTCCCGGGCGAGGCAACCCCTACCCGTATCGGTTCGGCTCTGCAACGCAACTACTCTCCACGCCCCTCCACTCCGGAGCTGGCATCGCCCCCGCTGACAAGACTGTTTCCTTATCTGAGAAAGGGGTTCTTCATGCCCCCCCACCACCAGCTTTGTTCCTTCAATCATTAAACCAATATTTACAGTCTGGCTAGTATTCCCAGCACCTGGCGCAGTGCCTGGTGTATGCCAGGGATCAGAGCGGATAATACTAGTTAACATCTATTAAGTCCTAATTATGTGCCAGGCATTTAGTTCTCGCAGCCCTACGAGGTAGGTGCAGGAAACCGAGGGAGGCTGGCACAGCTCTGGGGCTTGGGAATCTGTGTGCTCTCAGACAGACTCCTTGTCCTTGTGGAAGAGCCCTGCAACATGGGCCCCCCATGGGGGCATTTGGCACCCTTTCGTTCCTCCCTGGGGCAGGCCTCAGCTCCCAGGCCTGGGGCTGCTCTGCTCAGCCATGTCCTTCTCTCTACAGTGTCCCCCTAACCTGCACAAGCTGGACGGCTACTACTGTGACCATGAGCAGGTATGATGGCTGGGGGCCCCTCCTCTGGGTTCAGTGCAGTCCCTTATCTTGCCTCCATTCTGACTACTCAGTGTCCCTGTTTCTTGTCTCCTATTTGTTGGTCTCTCAGGGCCGCTGCTATGGAGGTCGCTGCAAAACCCGGGACCGGCAGTGCCAGGCCCTTTGGGGCCATGGTGAGTCCAGGGATGGGAGAGGGGACTCTGGAGGACCCATAATGGAGAGGCTGGGTGGTGGGCAGATTCCAGCTGAGTAGGCCCCCCACCAAATGTGTGGCTCCCCAGGATCCCAGGGACCCAGCCAGACCGGGCGTCAGGCCAGAGTGTTGGAGGTGCAGGCCTGACGTCCTAGGGTGAGTTCTGGAGTGTGGGGGTGATGGCTGGCACCATCTCCCCACAGCGGCTGCTGATCGCTTCTGTTATGAGAAGCTGAATGTGGAGGGGACAGAGCGTGGGAACTGTGGACGCAAGGGATCAGGCTGGGTCCAGTGCAATAAGCAGTGAGTAGCCAAAGCTTCTATGGGGCCTCCCCAGCTCTGGGGCAGCAGGTTTTCCTAGGAGGAGCCTGTGAGTGCCAGTGGGAGAGTGTGTGACAAATTGGGTGGCAGGGTGAGGGCAGATGAGAGCTCAGAAGTTGGATCTCAGGTCAGACTTGGGGCTCACTGTCTCCATGTGTGCCAACAGGGACGTGCTCTGTGGCTTTCTCCTCTGTGTCAACATCTCTGGAACTCCTCGGCTGGGGGACCTGGGGGGAGACATCAGCAGTGTCACCTTCTACCACCAGGGCAAGGAGCTGGACTGCAGGTGTTGGCTGGAATCATGGCTGGGGGAGGGAGCTTGCTGCTGTGACAGGGGTTAGGGGCCAGGGCTGAGGCTGTCCCGTTTCCCCAGGGGGGGCCATGTGCAGCTGGCCGACGGTTCTGACCTGAGCTATGTGGAGGACGGTACAGCCTGCGGGCCCAACATGCTGTGCCTGGACCATCGCTGCCTGCCAGCCTCTGCCTTCAACTTCAGCACCTGCCCTGGCAGTGGGGAGCGCCGGATCTGCTCCCACCATGGGGTGGGTGCCTGGAGGCTGGGGGCAGAGGGAGAGGCTTACAAGAGGGGACAGGCCCCTACTCACTGCTACTGGCACCGTCCTACCTCTAGGTCTGCAGCAACGAAGGGAAGTGCATCTGCCAGCCAGACTGGACAGGCAAAGACTGCAGCATCCACAACCCCCTGCCCACGTCTCCACCCACGGGGGAGACGGAAAGATACAAGGGTGAGGCCAGAGCTGGCCAGGGTGGGCCTCTCTTTCCCACTCTCCACGCCTGTCCCTGCCAACTGAGCTCTGCCCTCCTCCCCAGGTCCCAGCGGCACCAACATCATCATTGGCTCCATCGCCGGGGCTGTCCTGGTTGCAGCCATCGTCCTCGGAGGCACGGGCTGGGGATTTAAGTAAGAAACACACACACACTCCATCCACCCCCCCCCGCGTCCTCGGGGATCAGAACCCCTGACTGTTAGAGCTGGGGGGCCTCCCTGAGAGGTTAGTTAAGCCGGACCTCGCATATCACAGGCCAAGCCAGCACACAGGAGATTTTACATTAACAATCCTGATTTCCAGCTTCCCCTGAAAAATGAGAAGGTTGGATCCCAGAGGGTCTGCGAGAACGCCCGCTCGGCTACGGAGCAGAGCTGGGCAGGGGCCGCCCGAGGCAGGCGTGTCCTCCATCCCCAGTCCTCACCCAGTCGATCATGCCCCGTGAGCATCTAAATTTGGGGTCCTTGGGCTGGTCTGACCCCCTCAATGTGCAAAGGAGGGACCTGAGGCCCAGGGTCATGCAGTGAGTTAGTGGCAGAGCCAGGACTCAAACCCCAGACCCATTGTTGGTAGGTGTCCTCGGTATCTCTCCCTGGCCTGTGGTTACTGTCCAGGCGCTGGGACCCTTGTCCCACTGCGGGGCAGGGGGGGTCTCATGGGAGCTAGAAGGCCCCCCCAGAGAGAAGGGAAAGTCAGACGCTCCTTTTCCTCTCTCCCTGCGCCTGTCCTCGCCGTGGCTCCTGAAGAAACATCCGCAGAGGAAGGTACGACCCGACCCAGCAGGGGGCAGTGTGACGCCGGCCACGCCATCCCTCCCGCTGTCTTTGTCTCCTCCATCTCATTCGTCATCCCGCATCTGTTGTTGGGGAGCTGGGGGCTGATCCCCTAGCCCTGCTGCCTCCCGTCACGCCAGGGGTGGGAGAACCTTGCTCTGGGAAGGAAGTCCTCAGTCCTCAGCCCACACCCGCCCCTCCTCTCAGGCCACCCTCCATCTACTGCTGCCCTTCCTACAGCCTGGCGCCCTGACCAGGTGGCCCCTGGAGCTGTGCCCCCGCAGTCCCCATCCTCTGGGGTGGGAGCCTCCCTGTGCGTCCCATTTGTTTTGTCTTCCATGTCGCCGCTGTCTGACCTTCCACCAGATCCCCTCCCTGGCCAGCCTGTGACTTGCTGCCTCCAGGGCCCAGCACTGACCCCTTGGGGCCCCGCTGGAGGGTTCTCCCTCTGGCCCTGCCTCATGTGTCCTCCTCTGATGCCCCCTCTCCCTTCCAGATCCGGAGGGGCCTAAGTGCCATGCCCTCCCTCCGACCCTGACACCCACCGTCTCGGCCCTGACCCTCGAGGCCGCCCCCGTCCAGCCATGGAGGGAGGCGCCAAGCAAATGTCTTCCAGGTCCAAACCCTGCAACTCCTGCTCCACAGGAGTTTGGGTGGGGGCTGTGGCCCTGCCCTCCACACCACCAGGGTGGGCCAAGCCTGGAGGGCACTTCCTCCCTGGTCCCCCACCCACCTCATGCGGCTTTGGCCTTGCACACCTACTCTCCCTGTGTGAATGTAGCTTCCATCATCACAGATTGCCACGGGTCAAGTTGGGGGGCCTGGAGGAACGCCCCCAGGCAGCCACCAGCGGACACAGCCTGGGACGGCCCCTCCTCAAAACCAGGCAGCTGGGACCAGGGTCCTTGCTTTCTGGGACCGAGGGGGAAGGGGCTGACATCCACATTTTTTTTAACTGAATCTTAACTGATGAATGTAACCTCGGGGGTGCTGGGGCCAGGGCAGTTGTGGGGATGTGACATTTGCAGGAGGGCCCAGAGATGCCAAGATGTGGCCATCCCCTGGGTGCCCTTCCCCTCGCCCTGGGATGACCACACCTGGAGTCCTGTCACTAAGCACAGGCAGGGGCCGGGCGTCCCCACTTGCCCCTTCTGCCCAGCCCCACTGAGCCCAGAGGAGGTACGAGTGCTGATTCAAACCAAAGCTGCCTGTGCCGTGCCCAAGGCCTAGGTTATGGGCACAGCAACCACATGTCCCAGATTGTCTTCAATTCCAAAATGACTGTCCTGCTGTCCCTGCCAGGACGCATGTATTTAGGGGAGGGGGGGTCTAGAAAATATAGTCCCTGAAATACAATGGCACCTTCCCCCTTTCAAGAAGGGTGATTCTGGGGCTGACTCAGGGTTTAGGTGCCCCCTGGTGTGGCCTAGAGGTCCCAAGCTGCCGCAGGGAGGACTCTCCCAGGTGGAGAAGGCCAGAGGTGGCCCAGTGCCTGGAGGGTTAGGGGCTCTGCCTGGGACGTGCAAGAGAAGGTAGGAAAGGGCAGGTCTCCTAGGCTTCTAGAAAAGTCCTCAAGGCCCCATCAAACCCATTCCACTCCTTATCCCCATTCCAGGGCCGAGCAGTAAGTTTACAGATATTTCCCACATTATGTCATCCTCTGGTCCCTGCTCTAGCCGAGCCTGAGAGATAGGCCAGGCCAGCAGAATCCCTCTGTCTTCCCATGGAAAGTCGTGCCCATGGCCTTGCCTCATGACCTATGCTTGGGATGAAGGCGCTCTGGCTCCTTGACCCTACAAGCTAGCTGGCAGGAGCCAGATGGGGGACCAGCTACCTGATGGATGAAAGCCACAAATGGATGTCCCCAGGGATACCCTGCTCAGACTCAGCAGGGGTTCTGAACACCCCAGGGCCTTAGAGCTGCCTGTTTGAGTCCCTTTGTTTCTGGGGCATTTTTGAGAAGCTGTTATGCAGGAAATGGCTCCCTGTTTCTCCACATCACCCTCAGGGTCAGGCTGGGGCCTGGAACCCACTGGTCCTTCTTGGTGGCTGGATACACCCAGCAACAGTGGGCCTCTCCCTGAGCTCCAGGTGGCACAGCCCAAGTGAGGGCTGCACCAGCCCCACCTGCTGAGGGGCAGGGGCTGGGTTTTGCACTATTGCTGCAATACCTTAAAGCATCCATCCTGTGGTGGTACATGTGTGCACTGGTGGCACTGCAGCTAGAGACAAGCATTTGAACCCACGTCTGCACAGTGTGAACACCTGTGTGCACGTGGGTATGTCTGTGTGTGCCTGCATATGTGGGGGGGGGGACGTGGAGGACATAAGACTTTTTGTGACCAGACCACCCTGGCTCCCAGCTGTCTGCATCCTCCTGCCCCACCCTGGCGGTGTGCAGGGAGGAGGGGCGCTGCATCGCCTGGGCTGGGCCTGGCTCCAACGGCATCCTGTACATATGTCATCTGGGCTTAGGGGGTGGGGAGGCAGGTCCAGGAGTATCAATTAAAGATCACATCCTGGGGCTTCCACGGAGCTCACACCACCCTTGTGTCTTTCCTTTGTGAATGACTGTACTGTGGTTCATGGCCCCTGCCTGGCCACTCTGGCCCTGGAGGGAGCATGAGACTGGGGCGCTGCAGTGGGCAGTGAGCACCCAGGGCAGCGCTGGGAGGCTGGGAGGAAGGGTCATTCCCACTCCCAGTGAGGAAACAGGCTGGTGGCCCAGCCCTTCCGCTCCCAGCTCTCCCAACAAAGACAGCTGTGCCCTCCTCTGGCTTTGGCAAAGTAGAAGGTGAGTAAGTAGGAGAACATTTGACCAACAGCAAGAGACCCAACTTCCCTTTTATGGTTGAAGCCAGAAAAGTCTCTCCTCACCTTCCAAGAGATTCCAAAACACTGGACAAAACCATTATCCTGTCCGGTCCCAGGGCATCGGGCTCCCGGCCAGCTGGGAATCTGCTCTTCTACCTCTTCCCTCCCCTGGCTGGGGCCCGAGTTTGAGCCAGGAAACGTTGTCATTCCCAGCTTTCCCTCCACCGTGCCCTAAGCTGGAGGATCGGCTCTGGAAGCTCCGCTTGCTCAGGAAAAGACAGATGGAAGGAGGTGGGAGAAGGGGAGTGAAGGAAGGGAAGGACAGAATAGAGCAAGAAATAGCAGCCCCAAGCTGGGGGTGGCAGCTAGAAGCTCTGGGCTCCCAGCCCCAGTCTCAGACAGGCAGGACCCCAGGGACAACCTGGGCTCACAAGCAGAAAGAGCAGAACACAGAGCCACATTCAGCTTTGATTCCTGGTCCCCACCCTATTCTGACATCTCCATCGCCCCAGGACACTGGGTGACATCTAAATCCAGTCTCTCCTGGCAGAAGGTCAGCTGCTTCCCATTCAGAGTGCGGGGTGAAAAAGCAAGACTCATTCTCCAACCAGTCTGTCAGGAGCCGAAGTCTAGCTGTGCCCTTGTCTTCCTTGCTCTGAGCTGAATAACGCTATTTTTAACTTTCTCCATTGCTCCTGCCTCTCAACCTCTCTGTCCTGATGCTTAACCCTTTCTCAGTTCCCAACCCCCAGTCTGTCCTAGGCTGATGTGTCCTTCAGCTGACCCTTTAGGTAGCGAAATGGGTGTCTTCTGGCAGACCAATGGCAGAGGGGCAGGCACAGGGGACAAAGGTGAGGCTCTTAAAGGTTCATGCAATCACTGGACAGCTCCCAGCCTCGGGCCGGCCCCTGGAGCTCCAGGTGGTGCCTGTGTGGGCGCACACATGTGCAGGAGGCTGCTGAGCACAGCAAGGGGACACCAGGGAGGGGCCGAGCCCTCCACCCATCTTACCTGCCCAGTGACGCCAGTACACCACCCCCCACTGGCCAGGAGGCCATCGGTCTCTGCGGGCTGCACTCCAGCATCAGGTCTGGCCTAAGCGGAACTCCTGGAAGGACCGAGTCTGGCTCCGGAACACTGTGCAGGCAGAGTGGTTTCTAAACGGGGCTGAGTTCAACCAGGAATTGGAAATTTGCTGCAAGGCCACCTATTGCAAGGAGTTCCCAGGTACACTTTATCTTTTTTTCTTTTCTTTTGAGACAGAATCTCACTCTGTTGCCCTGGCTAAAGTACCGTGGCATCAGCCTAGGTCACAGCAACCTCAGACTCCCGGGCTCAAGCAATTGTCCTGCCTCAGCCTCCCAAGTAGCTGGGACTACAGGCATGCACCACCATGCCCGGCTAATTTTTTTCTATATATTTTTAGTTGGCCAATTAATTTCTATTTTAAATAGAGACAGGGTCTCACTCTTGCTCAGGCTGGTTTCAAACTCCTGACCTTGAGCGATCCTCCTGCCTCGGCCTCCCAGAGTGCTAGGATTACAGGTGTGAGCCACTGCGCCAGGCCTATTTTTTTTTTTTTTTTCAAAAGTAGAAAATCCTTTCGTAAGATCAGCACTCCAGATTCTGGGTCCCCCTTCTTAAACCAGAGCTCACCTGGTGAGGATTTCTGAGAGGATCGTGGCTATAGATTTCAATTCCCAACCATGTTTATCATAAGTTGAAGGTGGCCCAGATGGAGGGCTGGGGTCACTTAGCCCAACTGCACCTTGTGGTGCTCACAGTCGGCTTGTTGGATTGAAGGTACAACAAGAAGTTCATTATGGCTCATCCAGTGTCTAGACTGGTGCTATCCAGTGGAATAGAATGCAGGCCACAAAAATTACATGTGCATTTTTAAACTTTCTAGTAGCTGTATTAAAAATGTCAAGATAGGTAAAGATAATTTTAATGTATTTTATTAAATCCAATACATTCAAAATATTCTAATTTCAATGTATAATCAACATAAAAATGATTGAGATGTTATGGGTTTTTTTTACACCCAGTCTTTGAAATCAGGGGTGTATTTTGCACTTAAAGCACACCTGGGTTTGAACTATCCTCATTTCAAGTGCTCAGCAGCTCCATGTGGCTATAACTGATGCTACTTACCGTATGTAGCAACATTTAAGCCCAGGAAGCTTTGAAATACAGCAAGGACGGAAGAGGGAACAGACAACTACAGCAGGCAAGACGTGGACAGGGACAGTGGACACAGCCTCCTCAAAGGCTGCAGAGAACCTGTGTGTACAGTCCTTTCTAGAAGGCAAGAGAGGAGTCAGCACGTCGGCAGGGCTGGGGACTTTTAACTTAATCTGGAGTGAGGATGTAGATTCGTCCTGCCCCGAAAGGGGCTCTGGCCCCCGGGAACTTGCTGTAGGTAAAATGAGATTTCTATCAACCTTTCCAGAATGTCAGCAGAGAGAGAAGCAGCCCCAAGCAGCCCCAGCTCTGGGGCTTGGCGCTAAGGAAGACTCCCGCAAGCCTCCAGCCATTCCCGGAAACTCCATGCTTGCTGGCCGGGGCTCCTCTGGCCTTCTGGTGTTGACAGTAAAGGAAAGAGATAAACACTGGTCAGTGCTGTGACTCAGACTATTGTTGCTGTGTCCTCTATGAGGCCTGAACTGTTAAAACCTAAAGACCACCCCTGGTGACAGCTCCTGAAATGTGCCCTGGCAGCCCTGACTGTGCAGGAGTCCTTAGGGGACCCGTCACCACCCGAACCTGTGACCACCCCTCATGAGGTGGGTGATTTTCCATGTAGAGTGTGGGTGAGGGACTGCCACTTGGTCACAGGCTGCAATCCAGGTCAGCTCTCGGCTCTAGTGCCATTTGGCTCCCCCAAATGCTGAAAGAACACCCCAAATGCAAGGGGATTTTAGGGGCCTTCAAGTGCACGGAGAGCTGCAAGGGCCCTAGCAGACTCCTGACTGCCCTTTCCTTTTGCACAAAGCTATCCACAGGGTCCGTCAGACCACAGGTGGAGACGAACCCAGACCTGCCTCTGGTGAGGGGACAGGACAGTTATTCACACTAGCTCCTGTCACCCGAGGGGTCAGCCCAACCTAGTTGAGATCTGTCCATCCTTCCTGCTCAGTCCCCCAGCCCCCGCGGCCTCCTCGGGCCATGCTGGCATCAGGCTCTGAAGGGTTAACCGCTGTCCCCCTCCACCCCCCGCAGACCCTCACACTCAGTCCTGGCCTTCAGCCACCTGAACCCCTGCCCACTTGGCAGCCTCCAGGCTTCCTGACAAGTGTCTGACCGGCTGCCAATCTCCATTTCCCCAAGAGCCGTCTGCTTCTTGCTGGCAGCTGTAGTGCCCACTTGGGTTTAAAAATAAACTCGCTATCTGCCTTTCCTGCAGCCTAATCCCAGCAACTTCTTCCATGTGGAGCCTGATTCCAGCTGCCTCCAAAAACAAGGTATCCCTGGCATTTCAGAGGCCACTGTGAGGAACATGCTCCCACGTCTCCACCGAGGACACGTCATAGGAAGCTCGTCTCAGGAAGCCCTGTTTTGTTATGGGGACGTGCCACTTCTCCACCCTGGGGTCACTCCTGGGTGGAGGATTTAAGTGCAGGAGGGGATGGTGTGAGGCGCGGCTGCTCTTAGGGGGAGAGAGACCCCAGCATGGCTCAGATGGACGGCACCACAGAACCAGCCTCAGCCGGGCAGACACGCTATGGCCCCTCACACCCACAGTGCCCAGGAGCAGGAGGGCTCTCCTCCCTCTCCCCCACCATCTCATCTCACCTCCTTTGCTCTCTACAGAAGTCACCCCTGCTCACTCAGACAACCTCTCCCCTCCCACCCCAGGCTGAAAGCCCTCCTGCCACCTTAGGGCATCATTCGCCATTTACCTACCAACCCTCCCCCATCTCTTCTACTCTTTCCCATAATCCAAACCCATTTGGGTCTTTTTTTTTTTTTTTTGAGATAGAATCTTGCTCTCTCCCCCCAGCTAGAGTGCCATGGTGTCAGCCTAGCTCACAGCAACCTCAAACCCCTGGCTCAAATGATTCTGCTGCCTCAGCCTCCCAAGTAGCTGAGACTAGAGGCGCATGCTGCCACACCCAGCTAATTTTTTCCATTTTTAATAGAGATGGGATCTTGCTCTTGCTCAGGCTGGTCTCGAACTCCTGACCTCAAGCAATCCTCCCTCCTCGGCCTCCCAGAGTGCTAGGATACAGACGTGAGCCACTTCACCCGGCCCCTTCTGTCCTTAAAAAAAAAATAAACATCCCCCCCAAACCACCCCCACCCAGAGCCTCCACCTTAGCGCTGCTCACTCCTGCCGCCACAGGTCCCGCCACCCATGCAGTCCTCGAAGCAAACATTGGGGCTGCCAACTGCAAACCCGCCTCCCGCTCTGTCCACCATCCGGCTCAGGGCCATCCTGGCTCATCTTGGGCTGCCTCAGGCTACCCTCCTCCTCTCCTCCTCCTCCTCCTCCCCTCCCCTCCCTCCTCTTCCCCTCCAGGAGCTCTGCCTTGCCCATCTTCCTACTAGCCTCTCCAGTGCATTTCCGCCCATCTTCCCTAGTAGGCTCCAGCCTTGGGAATTTCTTTCAGTCCCTTCAAAGTTCTCACCCTTGGACTTTCCTCTTATTTATGACTTCCCCCACTTTATCTGACTCCTACTCATCTGTTAGGTCTTAGTTTATCTCTCACTGCTCCCCAAAGCCAGGCT